GATACATTGTGATATGGAAGTAAACAAGTGAATTATGACAAAAATTGAAAATGTGAAAGGCAGGAGGAGTCGGTGGGGCAGGGCAGTAGGCCCACTGCAACTGACATGGGTGGAGGGGCAATCGCACTTGGTGTCATACTTGCAGTTTAGATGAACAATGAGGCACTTGGCTCCAAACTTTTAGCTGGGTAAGTTCTACAGGAAGCAAAATTATAGTGAATCCCATACAGAGATCATTGTAGCCTTTAAACATACAGATAAAATAATCCATGTAAATGTATCTGAACAGATTTTATAAGTTATCCCGCATAATACAAAACGGGGGGGTTATCAAATCGCAGAAGGGCGTCACCAGCTGACCTTTCTGGAACCGCGGGATTAAAATGTTGATATGCGCATTTTCAATCGATAGGTGGCGAAAACATACCCGGTAACAGCACTAAATGTAATTTTAAGTACTGTACTTATGTAATTGCAGTTAGAATACAATTTTGAGACAAATTTGTTTGATAATGTACAGCAAAGAATATTTATGAGGTGATATGTATGCTGATTGTGATAGGGAGATTCGAAATGGAGGTAAGTTTATATAAACAGGGAAAAGTTTTGGGCAGCTTTGGAATGGGCTAGGTGGTGGTTTGAAGAGAGAGCTGGAGTGAAGTGAATAAAAGACGAGGTTCCGTTGTGTTGCTCAGGCTGCACCGCAGCGTCTATTCACGGGCGCGATCCCACTACTGAGCGGCACGGGGGCTTTGACCTGCTCCGTTTCCGACCTGGACCGGTTCAACCCTCTTTAGGCGACCTGGTGGCCCCGAGCTCCCCCGGGAGCACCATATCGATACCGAGCTTAGTGCGGACACCCGATCGGCATAGTTCGCTACGGCACAGAGCTCCTGAGCTCAAGCGGTCCACCAGTCTCAGCCTCCCGGTAGCTTGGATTACAGGCGCGCGCCACCGCGCCCGGCGAAAGCAAAGCGAAGGAAAGAGCTCCGAATACATAGAATTTCGTATTGTGTTTCCTATACGGCTTCAGCTGTAACATCGATTTAAAAATATGTCGCGGAAAGCTATATAAAGGCTTAGCCCTTCACGCTCAGAAACTACGTGTTTTTGCCATAAATTAGACGTAAGGTTTACCTCATGCCCTTAGCTTCCGGTATAGGCACCAGACCCCTGTTACACTCCATAGCACAGCTGGGTATAGAAGATGCATGGTTGGTTGAATGGACTCGTGTCCATGTATAAGGTCCTCAGTAAGTACAGGGACCATAAAATCGCATAGCTTCTGTACAAACAAAAGTTACAATTAAAAAAGATGCCATGACCAGCACAAGTGGAAAGTTCAAGGACAGAAAGTACAAATCCAGACCAAGATTTTGATCTAAACAACCAGTTCTTCAGTACTCTCTGATTGTGAATCTTTATACTCAACTGCTTAGCTGAAACAAAGTTTTTTGGTCTGAATTTTTACTTTCTGAACCTGAACTTTCCACCTCTGATGACTTGTAAGAGATTGAACTGAATAACAAATGAACGCAACGCCCGCAGGTAAACCTTATCTCTGATTTATGTAAAAAGCACGTAGTTTCTGAGCGTGAAGGACTAAGCCTTTATATTGTCTTCCACGACATATTCTTAAATCGCGCAGGAAAGTTCTCCGTCAACATAGAATTTCGTATTGTGTTTCCTACGGCTTCAGCTGAAACATCGATTCAAAAATATGTCGCGGAAGACTATATAAAAGCTTAGCCCTAGCTTCACGCTCAGAAACTACGTGTTTTTGCCATAAATTAGACATAAGGTTTAACTCGTGCCCTTAGCTTCCGTTATTGGCACCAGACCCCTGTTACACTCCATAGCACAGCTGGGTATAGAAGATGCATGGTTGGTTGAATGAACTCGTGTCCATGTATAAGGTCCTCAGTAAGTACAGGGACCATAAAATCGCATAGCTTCTGCACAAACAAAAGTTACAATTAAAAAAGATGCCATGACCAGCATAAGTGGAAAGTTCTAGGTCAGAAAGTACAAATCCAGACCAAGATTTTGATCTAACCAACCAGTTCAGTACTCTTTCATTGTGACTCTTTATGCTTAACTGGTTAGCTGAAACAAAGTTCTGGTCTGAATTTTTACTTTCTGAAACTGAACTTTCCACCTCAGATGACTAGTAGTAAGAGATTGAACTGAATAACAAATAAACGCAACGCCCGCGGGTAAACCTTATGACTGATTTATGTCAAAACCACGTTGATTTCTGAGCGTGAAGGACTAAGCTTTTATATTGTCTTCCGCGACATATTTTTAAATCGATATTTCAGCTGAAGCTGAAATTCTATGTATTCGGAGCTCTTTCCTTCGCTTTGCTCTCGCCGGGCGCGGTGGCGCGCGCCTGTAATCCAAGCTACCGGGAGGCTGAGACTGGTGGACCGCTTGAGCTCAGGAGCTCTGTGCCGTAGCGAACTATGCCGATCGGGTGTCCGCACTAAGCTCGGTACCGATATGGTGCTCCCGGGGGAGCTCGGGACCACCAGGTCGCCTAAAGAGGGGTGAACCGGCCCAGGTCGGAAACGGAGCAGGTCAAAGCCCCCGTGCCGCTCAGTAGTGGGATCGCGCCCGTGAATAGACGCTACGGTGCAGCCTGAGCAACACAACGGAACCTCGTCTTTTATTCACTTCACTTCAGCTCTCTCTTCAAACCACCAGCTAGCCCATTCCAATGCTGCGCAAAACGTTTCCCTGTTTATATAAACTTACCTGCATATCACATCTCCCTGTCACAATCAGGATATATATATATATCACCTCACATAACTTCTTTGATGTACATTTTCAAACAAATTTGCCTTAAAATTGTATTTTAGATACAATTATTTAAACACTAAAAACTCCATTTACTGTTCTTTCCCCCTCATGTTACCGGCTATGTTATCGCCACCTATCGACAGACAACCGAAAAATCAACATTTTAATCCTGCGGTTCCAAAAACTTCAGGTGGTGACGCCCTTTTGCGATTTCAGTAATTACACCCCACCTCCAGTTTATATTATGCGGAAAAACTTGTACATTAAACTTAAATTTATACATCCTGTTCAGATACATTTACATGGATTACTTTATCTGTATGTTTAAAGGCTAAAATGATCTCTGTAGGATTCACTATAATTTTGCTTCATGTAGGACTTACCCAGCTACAAGTTTGGAGCCAAGTGCCTCATTGTTCATCCAAACTGCAAGTATGACACCAAGTGCACCAAGACCGATTGCCCCTCCACCCATGTCAGTTGGAGAGGGCCTACCGCCCCACCCCACCGAGTCCTCCTGAGTTTCACATTTTCCCTTTTTGCCTGTTCTGCATTTATTAAGTGTCACAGTGTGACGTTGGTGATGAGAAGCACGACCCAGAATGCAGCCTGCAGTGCAGGGAAACAAACACGACCATAAATGATAAACAATGACAGATCTAAGGACTTTTGAACTATGAGGCAGTTAAATTCAAAGGAAAGAAGCGAGAAACAGAAGACAGCTGGGGCAATTACTCAGAGGGGCAGGAAGGAGAGGTAAGGCAAACCCACCCTGGGCCACAACAGGGAGGAAACAGGACGAGGAAGATGGCCAAGGCAGGCAGAACGTGACTTATAATCAGGTGGTGTCCTTGCATATTGCACTGTATCTCGCAGTTTCTGAGTACCAGTCCAAACCTTTTACTTTGATTCCCCAGCCTGGTTATTTTATGAAAAAGCAGCATGTTGCATCCTAAAGTCCCTTTGATTTACTGAATCTGGCTGGATGTTTCCAGACAAACCCACATATCATGCTACAGAATCTGCTGCAGCATCATGGCAGAGACAGAACATGGCTCACAGGACCTGCATTCCTCATTCAGCCACAGCGGTCTGCTGAGGCCACAGAGACATTTGAGTTGTTTACTTGATCAAGCTGACTTGTTCACTAAGCCCATGACACTGAAGTTTGTCCTCAAGTAGTGATGCTCAGCACTATTTCATCACTAAAGACCCTGTCAGGGTTGGTGCTGTCCTACTCTGCCCAGCGTGTCATCTTCCCGTTTGGCCAGCAGGTGTCACTGGCTATCCTGTCCTCCTTCCTGTCTCTTGCCCTTCAGCCCCAGTGTTTCTAAGTCCCTAGTATGTTTTCCCAGTTTCTGGGGTTGCCACATAGCTAAGTTGGTTGAGTGTTTGATTTTGAGACTGTTACTGTTTGGTTACTGTTCAAGGCTGACCAGAGGCCAGAGTTATCTGTCATTTCATATTTTTTTGGTTTTCTGTCTCCATTGTGGTTATTTTACATTTGTTTCCCTGTCTTAAGTTTGTCATGCTTGTGTCCTGTTCTCTTCTAGTCCTGTTTGTATTTTCCTTCCTTGTTATCTTAGTGTGGTCTTCCCAGTTTGTGTTTTCTAGGTTTGATGCATAACTCCAGGTTCAGTTAATTGTTCCATCTGTTGCTCGTTGTCCTATGTCCTCTGTGATTGGTCGATTGTCTGATGGTCCACACCTTGCCCCCCTCATTAGCCTGGTTGCCTATTGTGTCTGTCCCTGTTTGGTTCTTTAGTCTGTCATTGTCTGATCAGTTAGTATGTGTTTGTTGTTCTGTGTGTTTGTGTTGAGGTTACTTTATTGAATTCTTATTTTCCCCCTTTTGTTCTGACCTCTCGCAGTGTTATTTTGTGCCTAACCCTGGGTTTTTCTTTGCGCTCATCGGCTTGGATGTGCCTGGACCCTGGGTGGTTCATCTCATCGCACATGTGGTGGTCATGCTAACAGTAAAAGGTGGTCCATACCCTTGCATGCATGAATGTCAGGGCCTTTGAGATGGAAGTGTTGGAATCTGTAGATACCTTAAATTCTATAAATCTTTTATGGAGATCTTAAGGAGACCTCTGTCACTCACACTGATAGGGCAGAGTCATTATGGTGTTAATTTTGCTGTCTTGTGTGACATCTAACCCTCAAACTGCAGAGTTCCTGTTTCATCAACTTCCTCAGAAGGATATACACTTAGTCACTCTTTCCATCAGCTCCGATAAGGTAAATAAGTACGTTTTGTTATATAATCTAATTTAGTCATCTACTGTTTGGAAAAAGGAAACATTCTAAATATGTTGTGTTTATGAAAGAAAAAATTGTTATAGATCAACATGTACGTTTAGTTATTTGTAATTTAAGGTAACTTGAGAAAAATAGCTTTAATAAGGTGAGGAGTATTTTAGAGGTTTTTGGAGTATTCCTAAAGTACGCATGCAACGTTTTAGTCAGAATAGCCTGTTCACCATTTAGTAGTAAAACCTTAATCAACATCCATATTGGGAAGCAGTAGTAACTTTACTGAAACAGACTTGAGAGCAGGGACGGATTACGGACCGGGCCAGCGGGGCCGCTGCCCAGGGGCCCTTGGGGTGCAGGGGGCCCGTGGGGCCCCTAGCCCAAAACAATTTGCAACGCTTATCAACAATGTATTTTCGTTTGTCTATTTTAGAGGGCCTACATTCTTTGATCCTCTGCCTACAAGGGCCCCTGACCTTATAGGGCCTCTGATGGAAACATGGAGGGAGGGCATTTGGCTGCCAAGGGCCCTTGAATTGTGGTGGTGGTGCTGCTGGTGGTGGTGGTGGTGGGGGCCCTCGCGAACGTTTTGCCCAGGGGCCCACACAACCCATAATCCGTCCCTGCTTGAGAGTATATACATAGTGGACAGAAACATAGAAAAGAAATAATTACAAGCATTGCCCGCATAAAAAGTTTTATGAAAAGGAAAATATAAGTCAAATAAAACAAGTTTGGATAGAATATGTTACAGTGCATGTCTGACATCCTATTAACTGGTCCTGTGGTGTTGGCATAGTGAAATTCTAGGCTGTCTTTAAATGCACTAGTTAACAGTTTCATCCCAAGAAACAGCAGTATCCCTTGTCGTAAGAATGCCTCAAAATTTCTCTGCTGTTTTAACTGCTAGAGAAGGATACATTGATCAATCAAATAGTGAACATACTGTGCATTTATTTGTTAGCAAAGAATATTGAGTGAATTTTTACTAAATGTTGAGTAAGATGCAAATGTAGAAAATCTGTGTGTATGCATATAAACAACATACTTTAGTTATATAATCTGCTTTAGTCTTCTACTGTTTGTAAGAGATACAAAACATAACTTTAGTTTGAAAAAGGAAACATTCTAATAATGCCTTGGGCCAGTTGTATTTATGAAAAAAGGTCAACAGATCAACACGTACGTTTAGTTATATGTAATTTAAGGTAGCTTGAGAAAAAAAGCTTTGTTTAATAAGGTGAGGCGTAATTTAGAGTTTTTGGGGTATTCCTAAAGCAGGGCTCCAGGCTAGCTTTTCGCACTGGTTGCCCTCGTTCGTTTCATTTAGGTGCAGCCAAATTTCCTCAGCATCTTTAGCGCCACGATGATGCATTTTAAGGGGGACCTTTTTGTCATTTCCCAGACGCAGGCACCGCTGTATCCCATTATAAACTTAAAACTAGCTACATCAAAAGCATTGGGGTGGTTAGCAAACCCTATACAGACTATTTACAATCTGTTGAAACTGTTACATGCATGCAAATACGTGTGCATATTTATCTCGAATTGAAAATCTCTCACCAGCCAGCTGACCAACGTTAGCAGGCCTGGTGCTGCTCCCAGATACTAGATATAGAAAAAGCTTCGGTTTGCCGCCGCCTGACGCTGAAATGCTGCGGGGCGGGGGCGGCGAGGGGGGGCACTCTGGTGGTTACACACTTGTCATAAGACAGAATGTTTCCGTTCTTATCTCACCACTGGGCCAATGAGCAAGACCCTTAACCCCAGTTTCTCCAGGACTGGCTGCCCCTACTGTCTCCCCTATACTGGTTCCATGAGGTGGCCTCCTGGGATGTGTTTCCAGCTGTCCTTAAGGAGGTCCTGCATATACAGTATATGCTGAGCACTTATACTGATCAAACTCCTCCAAAGGCATTCCTATTGAGTTTAGGTCAGATGGCCAGGTCACCTGCGACAATATCGCTCTGCTTTGTAGGCAGCATCATAACGTGTGTGTGTCGATTTTGTTTATATTACGTTGTGGGGACCACAAGGTCTATCTGCACATGAAGTTGGTCCACCAGCAATATTTCATTAATGATGCTGGTCCACCAACACCCAAACACACAGCATTTTTTTTTTTTTGTTTTGTTTGTTTTTCTGATTTGGTTTTGGAACAGGAAATTCCAAGAAAGAACGACACGCGGATTATAAACGGCCGTTTAAAAAAGGTGTGTTTATTATTTTAAAATCGTTTACATCTGCTTGATAATGTAACCAACATGTTTTATTAGATTGTAGCCCATTATTAGCTCGAATCCATTTAAATCTAAAGCCAAATCCCTAATATCGATTTATTAACGTAATAATAATTATACGGTCTTGCAGGTTAAGCAATTAAACGTGTTGCTACCAAACTACATATACGCGGTTATAATAAATACAATATATCTCTATCGAGTTACATGTACTATCTAGTAAAACATGACGATTATACTATCAAGCTAATTGTAAACGATTTTGTAGTTTTTATAGTAAAAACATACCATTCCATATCCTTTGTAAACGTATATATAGTTTAAATAGTTTGTGGGTGGCGCGGGAGGTAGTGCTATCGTTCGGCAACCAGGTTCAAGCCCTGGTTCCTCCTGACCCCATCAAAGTGTCCTTGAGCAAGACACTGAACCCCACATTGCTCCCGGTGTGCAGGTTGGCGCCTTGCATGTATGAATGTGAGTGTGGATGGGTGAATGTGAGGCATGTATTGTAAAGCGCTTTGAGTACTCGTAGGAGTAGAAAAGCACTATATAAATGCAGTCCAGTTACCATTTAAGAAACACTGGTCTGAAGTGGCGAAGACCCACCCCTTCTCTGCCTCTGATTGCCTCTGTCCCTGAAGAGAACTCGGATAGACTTGCGACATGTTAGGGGCACCAGTGCAAGCAAGGGAAAAACATAATCGTTTCCCACAGATTTGGTCACAATTTCCTGCTTAGCCTTTAGCAGTAAAACGTTAATCAACATCCATACTGGGAAGCTGCAGTAAATGAACTGGATACCGACTTGAGAGTATATAGATACTGGATAGAAACGAAATAATTACACACATTGCCTGCATAAAATAAGTTCACAAAAACGGTTTGAATGCCTGGTTTGACAAAAGCCTGATACTTTCATGGGAGATAGTTAAAGAAATGGCATTTATTGGGTCATTTAACTAATTGCTATTAAGTTAACAGTTGAAAATATTTTTGTTACCGCCAAACCAAGCACACAAACAAGTATTCAAAACACAGAGTTAGCAGTTCAAAAACAGAATGCATGTGTAGCACATCGAGGTGTCATTAATGTGATCTTGGAGTGTTTTTACTGAGTGTCAAGACACAGCGTTGCAGTTCCTGGAAGCCCTAAGCTTATTGTGTGATCGGTGCCTGAATGTTGCACCTCAATGTGTTGCCTGCACATGCAATCAATAGAAGCAGTTTAGTCTTGCTTATTCTTGCCAATATGTTATGTTCACAAAAAATTACCACCTTAAATCTGTTTAGCTTTGAAGTGAAACATAAGCATGATGTGATTACATGTTACTTTGGAGGGAATAATTGTAGCGCTCAGGTTAGATTTATAAAATTAATCTGAAATAGTTTGATTTTTCTTTTTAATGACCCCATTAGAGAGGGGACCGTCAGAGAGCTAACTTTCTTTCAAACATAGTTAGCAGTAAAACTTTAATCAGCATCTATACTGGGAGGCTGCTGTAACTGACACAGACTTGAGAGTATATAGATACTGGACGGCATAAAAATAAGTTCACAAGAATGGTTTGAATGTCCGTTCTGGCAAAAAAAAAAAATACTTTGATGGGAGATAAAGAAATGGTTTTTCATAGTAGTTAACAGTTACAAATATTAGTTAGCAAAATTAGCAGCACAAACAAATGACGCATGCTGAGCAGTATGGCCCAGTATATTCTGTATGTGTTAATATGTTTTGGTGTAATTCATATAGAAATATTAAGCTTTATAGTTAAAATCTGCATCTGCACTATTTATGTGAATTTATTTGAATTTACATGGGCCCGACCAGGCATAATCCGAAAGAGGCACGCAGGACTGTCCCCAGGTGGGCCCACCACCCGCAAGGGGAATGTCAGGGGTTCGGTGCTTTATAGATCGGGTGGCGGCCAAGGGAGGCCCTGGCAGTCCGATCCCCGGCTGACAAAACTGGCTTTCGGGACATGGAATTTTATCTCTCTGTTGGGGAAGGAGCCTGAGCTTGTGCGTGAGGTTGAGAGGTATCGACTAGATATAGTCGGGCTAACCTCAACACATAGCTTGGGTTCTGGAACCAATCTCCTGGAGAGGGGCTGGACGCTCTTTTCTTCTGGAGTTGTGGCGGGTGATCGATGCCGGGCTGGGGCGGGGCAACTGGTGGCCCCACAGCTCGGTGCATTAACAACGGAGTTTACCCCGGTGAACGAGAGGGCTGTTTCCCTGCGCCTTCGGGTCGGGGATAGGTCTCTGACTGTCATCTGCGCTTATGCGCCGAATGTTGGTTCAGAGTACCCTGCCATCTTGGATTCCCTTAGTGGTATGCTGGTTGGCATGCCATGAGGGGATTCCATCGTTTTGCTGGGCGACACTCACGTGGGCAATGACAGTGTGACCTGGAAGGGGGTGATTGGGAGGAACGGCCTCCCTGATCTGAACCCGAGTGGTGTTCTGCTATTGGACTTCTGTGCAATAATAATAATTATTAATAATAATAATACATGGTTTGACCATAACGAACACCATGTCCATAAGTGGACATGGTACGAACATGTCCGGGGCTACAGGTCGATGATCGATTTCATAATCGTAAAATCTGATCTGCGGCCTTCCGTCTTGGACACTCGGGTAAAGAGAGGGGCAGAGCTGTCAACTGATCACCACCTGGTGATGAGTTGGCTCAGGTGGTGGGGGAGGAAGCCGGTCAGACCTGGTAGGCCCAAGCGCATAGTGAGGGTCTGCTGGGAACGTCTGGCAGAGGAGGGTGTCCAGTTTGGTGGCCTCAGGATTGCCATCGCTGCTTTTTGCAGACGATGTCGTCCTGTTGGCTTCATCTGCTGGGGATCTCCAGCGTGCTCTGGGGCGGTTCACAGCCTTGTGCAAAGCGGCAAGGATGAGGATTGGCACCTCCAAGTCCGAGACCATGGTTCTCAGCCGGAAAAAAACTGTAATAGAGATGTATAGCGAATATGCTTGACCAATTATGACAACTGGTTCAACCATTTTGCATTGCGTGACTTATATAATGAACTAATGCCTAGATGTTTTGGGAGGTAAGACTATTCAACAGAGTACCGGTATAATACATATTGACCAATTGAAAATGTAGCAATTAGCAGATGATTGTACATAATCATTTGTATGACTGTGCCAAAGCATTTGTAATTTGACCAAATGAATGAATGCATTTACGATGTGCACAAGGGACACAATGATGTGGAGGTTGTACTTCAAATTTGAATTTCATTCCTGCATCCCGTCTTCAAGCACAATTTAACTTCAATTCAATCTGATTCTCGTCTAATCTGCCATTCTCAATTCCAGTCTTCCTGGTGCACAACCATGCCGCTGCACTTCTCTGCGGCTGAGAGCGTCATGACTGCGGCTGAGAGATTTATTTTCATTGGCTGCCTGCTGCAAGGTGAGACAAGGGGCACAGATTGTATAATTACACTATTTAACATCCCGAAATTAGGGGTCCAATCTATAAACCTCTAATTTATATACAGCATCAACTTCTTATGAACTGGCTTTCTTATTAGTTCTATTCAGAATACATGGTTTCTCTGTGGAGAAACTGAATGAATGTAAGTACAATGTTAATGTGCATATTAATATACATGAACTCACATGTGTCTTCTAGTGCAAATATACAGTAGGACATCTTTGTATGATTGACTATAGACAGATTGTGACAGTATGATGTCTGAATTGTAGGTGGTCTGTGCAGTACCTGGTCAGTCCAGATGCCTCAGTCTATACAAGCCCTGAATGGATCCTGTGTGCTGATTCCCTGCACATTCCAGATTCCATCTGCAAAAAATAAACATCTAATAAACCCAGCTGGAATATGGTGGACAAAGAAGAGAGGGTCGTCTGATAAAAGACAATTGGAAAAAAAAGATAATTGGAATATAATTGGAAAATTATCTGAGAAGAACTGCACCACAGTCCTGAACAGGATTAGTAAGACATGGACTGGTGATTATTCATTTAGCATTGAAGGCAATAACCACACCAAGAACAAGTTAAAAGAGAAGGTGAAAATTAATGTAGAAGGTATGTCATCTACCTTAAATTTAGTGTTGAACATTATTTTTCTGTATATTGTTATAATGGAAACAGATTTCCATAATTGTGAATCCATGTTTGTCATTATCAATGGATGTGCCGATGTGCTTGTGTCCCGATATCTGTGCTCAAATAAGCAAAGTAAACAAACAAACATATATTTGCTATAACTGTTCAGAGCAGTGGTTGTGGGGTGCTGCTTGTCCCTAATCCCAGGACAGCCCCCCCCAGATGTGTGTGATATAATGTCATATGAATCACGTGACTCTTTGTCTCTGTCTTCCAGACTCCCCACCCAGCCCCCAGGTCACCATAAACAAGGACATGGTGAGGGAGGGGGACTCTGTGACTCTGACCTGCTCGGCTCCAGCTCCCTGTCCATCACTCCCCCCGACTCTGTCATGGACCCCCAGGCTGAGTGACAGTGTCACTGTATTTCAGGAGAATGATGATCACACTAAACATGCATCTTCTGTTATGAACTTTACTGCCTCACATCTCCTCCATAAGCAGGAAGTCAAATGTACAGCAGTTTACAGGCTCCAAACAGTCAACAGTGAGAGGACATCCCACACAAATGTAACTCTAAAGGTTCAGTGTAAGGCCATTTTGAGCATTTTTTGTCGTATTTCTTTAAACTGTATGAATCCCCTAATGAAGTTAAAGCCAATCTGATTTAAGCATCCCAAGGTTTTCTGTGACATGTTACTTTTATATTCCCACAGACTCCCCCAAAAACATTTTGGTCTTAATTGGAAAAGATGGGAGTCTAACCTGCATCAGTGATGCCAACCCAGCAGTGAACAATTACACTTGGTATAAAGTGAGTGGGGGTGAAATCAAAGTTGTTTCATACACACAGAGCCTCACCTCTAATATCACTGAGGTCAGTGGACAGTATTACTGTCAGGCTCAGAATGAACACGGCCTACAGAATTCAAGCACCGTGCAGCTCCACTGTGATCGTAAGTATCATTTCATATCGCTTTCAAAATAATGATGTTCTATTGAATTTATGGTCATTTTTCTAATTGTTTGACACGTGCAAACATACAGGTCAAATCTATAACTATACCCAACAGCTACAAAACCTGGGCCTGTATCATGAAGTGAGATTTGTTCTTTAGCTAGATAACTTGCTGGATTAAGGTTCCCTAGTTAAAATGGATTTTTTTCTTTGTTCATTTACATTTACCCCAAATGACCTTAAATCCGGCAAGTTATCTTGCTAGCCCAGAATTCCAGCTTCTGATACAGGGCCCTGGTCAACCATTAGAGAAGTTTACCAGTACAAAGTGACTGAGGTTGGCATGAACATTGACACATAGTAACTGGAACAGTCTTTTGTATAAGTACATCATAGTTGGACACATATATTTCTAATTTGGATGGGATGCCGTAGGTATGTCGATAAGTCTTCACAAATCCTTTGCCAGAATTTGTTGACCGGTGCACAGTACCAGAAAGCATGTAGGTAATTATCTGGTGCGTCCTTCTTACAAGTTACGCATATGTCAGTATTTCTGATACCTATCTGGAACATCCTCTGCCCTTTGTAGTGCGTTCTGTGTAAGATTTTGTACTGTGAGTTCTGATTCATTCGAAAGGTATTCAAGCAAATTTGCCTTCAGAAGTACGTGTCTGGGTTGATGAGTAAATCCCTTTCTGATCTTTAAGTTCCGTGTGGGGGCTTCCTGTAATATAATGGACACACCATCTGTTTGCTGTACAGCAGTAAAGGCTCCACCCACTTGGATGGCCGCTGCTGCAGGGGCGGCTGGGATGATGCTGACGTGCATCTTAATGCAGATTCTTCTCAAGTGAGTGTCTGGACCTCAATCTTACCTGATTAGAACGGTAATGATGTAATCAATCTGGTCCTGATTACATCATCATTTCCAGAAAATGCTGCCCCAGTGAGAATCACAGCAGTAAGATACGAGTCACTGAAGAATTAACACCGATAAATTTGGTGAGTCTCTCTCATCTCAGCCCTCTGTGCCTTACTGACATTGCTGCCCTTCATTTTAACTATATAAAATATAAAAAATCACATTTTAAAGCTTAACAGGCACCTATTTTCTTTTCTTATTTATACTTATTAAATATACATACCAGACTTCTGAGAGTGGAAATGAGACTCCAGTTGTCCACCATGACAGAGGCAGTGAATGGGGAACAGGAACCACTCAGGGGAGCTCACAGAGCACTCTGTATGGAAACATCAACCGCAGTGTTGGTGTGATGTCTGAGGTCCAAGAGGAACAGGAGCAGTGTACTATAAGGGGTATGACTGGTAAGAGGAAGAAAACCCGACAGCCTGAGAGTAGAGATGTGTCTGGGCGTGGCTTCAGAAGCCAGGATTCTACAGATTCCCAAAAGAGGAAATATGAGTCAGGTACCGAACAAGAGACCATGGAGGACAAGAAGATCTCAACGCTGGATGATCAGCTGAAGACACCTGAACCAAAAGAGGAAGCAACGTATAATAACATCTGCCATCAACTGTGCACCAAAGGTCCAGATAAGAGGTCTGCTACAGTGGAAGCTTCTCCTGAGGGTCCACAGGACCATCATGGCATTGCTTTTTACCCACTGATCTCTGACGAAACGGGAACCAATGAGAGCGAGTATGCAGTGGTGAGAAAGGTCCGTAGTTTTTAGCAGAAAGTCCATCCCTGAAGGACTAAGGCACAAGTGTAGCTAGAATGAACCGTAATTCTTACTGTATGCATTCTGAATACTAATATTGTAATGGGGGGAAAAGCTATTGTGTCTTTCATAGAAATTCTGAAGAAATTTGCCCCATTTACAAAATACAGACGCTTCTCTACTTACGAACTTTCAATTTACGAACTTTCAGACATACGACCGAACAGGACTGTAAGTTTAAATTGTGTTCCTTGGGCACCCGTTTCCTGTCCACAACATCTTTTTTTTTTCTGTACACCAGTTCCACCTAGTACGACTTCTGGCCACTACTCCCACCTTGCAGCAGTGTAGTGTGCGTACTCCCAGCATCCTAGTTCTTTGTACTTGCGTATACCCTTAAAATTATGTTGAATAATGACTTACGGACATTTCAAGTTGGGAACGGCCCTTCGGAACGTATCTCATTTGTAAGTAGAGGAGCGTCTGTATATTTTTACTTTTCTGTTGGTTGACTTTCATGGTGGCTCTGAGGCAAGGGCTCTGTGCTGGCAGTCGGAAGGTTACTGGTTTGAATCCCATGAATTGCAATTGCTTTGTTCTGGGTATGATGTTAATCTGCATCCTGTCCTGGAAGCTGGTTTTCCAACTTTCAGGGAAAATTTGAGGGTTGGTGGTAGAATTGGCCCCTGGTAAAAACTCACACTCTTCCATTCCATTCAATCTAGTGTGGTGCTGAGGTATCACCTGCTGCATGGCTGCACTTGGGTTCTCATCCCTGAAGTGGTTTGCCGCCTGGAGGGTGTGGCAGCATGTGCTCCTTACCCCCCCCCCCCCCTCTTATTTTGCAGTACATGTTCTAGTTATCAGCAGAACAAAAGTAACTTTGCAGATATATGAAGGTAAAATGCTGTGCAGAATAATTACTGCTCAAAGATTTTTATTTTAACATGTACAATACAACATCATTTCCAGAATATCCACTGATAGATGGAAAATCAGTGATATAAACAGATGAACTTTGATGTTATAAATAAGTTGTCTTCCACATATACTATATTACAAGGAATATTATATGAATATTAACTGATTATATGATCAATCAATTTTTAGGTTCCAAACAGTCTTGCTGTATTGGCTACTGCTATCTTCTGCTTTTTTACATTCATCTTTAGCTGCATTGGAAACTGTACCTATGACTGGCAAAAACCTTTAAGGCTACTCTCCTTGTGCTGTAGAATAATCGTGATTTAAATGCAGAACACAGTAATAATAAAAAATAAATAAAGCAACTAAAAGACGCCAGAAGGGTTCTGCCTTTTGCTTTTCTCTCTCTCACTTCCTTGGTTGGGTTGTCCTGACTGCACATCAATGACTAAATCCTGAGTTTCTTTCTTTTATTCACAAACATCATTGGCCACTGTCTAATTAACTACATTCAGAAATATTTTACCCCTTATGTGCAAATGGATGTTTTTCCAAAAAACAGTTTATTTACACAAAAAGACATTTGTGTTTAGTAATTTGTCAGGAAAAGGTTGCTGTAACATCACATAGCATCAACATTCCTTTGTCACGTTTTGGCACAAATTTATGGTCATATCTATTGATCTTTGCTATCGTATCAGAAAATGCTAATAAGGCAAAAAAAAAAAATAGGTAGCATATTTTGAATTTAACTTGCCTTATCAGAAAATGCTACTAACAATGTTTTATTACACCTGTCTGATACTTATAGCCTATAAATAAATAGGTTGTGTGTTCTGATAACCATAAATGACATTAGAAGGAAATTCATAAGTCTAGGAAGAATGTTTTAATCATTTAAACAACCTTATCTCACGATGAGACATGAGGGGCGACAACTCACATGCAGCTGAGGAAAGGGAGACGTAGTTGTAAAGAGAACAAAGATAGGAAACAATGGACCACAGAGGTTCCAAACAAATGCTGATATACAACATATGAAATAATTATTATTCATTGGGAGGCAAGGAAACACTAAGCTAACTAACATACCAGGAAACAGCAGGGGGAAGCCACACAGAACACTGGTAAACATACTAGCACCAACAGCACAGATGTCACATACAAAGACCAACAAAGTAACAGGGCAAGAGCTTATCAGCAAGGGATAGGTATGGATGGATAACAGCAGGGATTGGGAGTTACACAGCATAGGTGAAGGGAATTAACAATTATTAAACACCAAGGACTCAAACACCAGGGCAAATTCGGAACACAGAAGAATGGGAAGGCCAGCGACATCTGCTGGCCAAATGGGGAAACAATGCACAGCACAAAACAAGGCAGGGGCCAATCCTGACACGTACCTTATCAGAACACTGCTACTAACAAAAATGTTTAGACCTGCAGCCGACCTGGACACCCTGCATAATGTAAAGCAAGGCCGACAATAGGCCTTTGCAGGATTAGCCCTGGTATGAATTGACAAGTAGCATATTTGGATAGTCAGAATGCTATGGCAGGCCATTTTAGCTTTAATTCATTTTTAGAAGATATCACAAATTCACTTATAACTAGTTAGAATGTAAATTCTTGGTATGAGAAATTCAGTTGTAACTGGTTATGATGTCAGTTCTTGATACTGTATCTGAAATTGTATTATAGCTAGTGAAATTCAAAATATTTTTCTCATTCATTTCAATGTGAGTTGGAATTTGAACTAGTTAAAATGCCAATGTTTTGGTACCAGGAATTCAATTGTAGCTAACTATAATTAAAACTGAATTATAAATATCGGTCCAGGTCAGGTTCGGGCGCATGCGCTGATCCACCACACGGCGAAACTCCTCAGGATCCCGGCCAGAGATCCCCCAGGCAGATACACGGTCCAGTCCCACCCTCCAGAAGTGGCCCTCCATGTGCCACAGCCAGGTGCTACATGGGCGTCCCCTTGGCCTGGTCCAGCCGCTTGAGTCCTCAACAATGAGGATCCTGTGAGCTGGATCACCCTCAGGGAAACGTGGCTCATGGCTGCAGTGCCGTAACTGACACTCCTTCACAATGCAGGTCCAAGTCTTTAGAGTACTGGTGCTCCCTGTCTTGCTGTGTGGCTGTGAGACATGGACGCTATCTAGTGAGCTGAGACGAAGACTAGACTCCTTCGGTACTGTGCCTCATTCAGGACTCCTCTGGAAACCGCTCATTCGACACGAAGTCAAACCAGCAGTACCCAAGGATTCTCCAAAGAGACACGGTACCGAGACAATGACTTGCATGACCACTGCCGGAGGCTGCAGGAACAAGACAGAGAACAATCAGGATGGCGAGCCATCCCATCGCAGGAAATCACCAAAAGAAATAATAATAATAATAATCATCTGACAAAGGTAGGGACTCAAGTTACACGACTCAACTCGGCTTGGACTTGAGTCACAAATTTGATGACTTATGACTTAACAGAAAAAATGATGGAAAGACTTGGACTCAAGGGTACATGACTGGAAGCTTGACTTGGTCTTATGATATTTTGACTCGAGTTCCATCCCTGGGATGCTGTGACGTGTAACATAAATACTCAGAGCACCTGTCCTGCAATACAAGGGAAATGCACGAGGACTATGCTTGAAGTCACTATAATTCTAATGTATGAAAACATTTTCTGTTATCTTGAAATCCATATATATGTACTGTGTGTGTGTGTGTGTGTGTGTGAGAGAGAGAGAGAGAGAGAGACAGAGAAAGAGATGCTGGAAGAGTTCAGTTCCAATTTATTTCACGCTTATAATGTATTGCATTTATTTATATATGGTGTATTTATAATGTATAATATTTTGCCTGTATTTTTAGGAGATTTAACTGTTTCGGGGACCTTAGTAGGACACTTTACGTTTTCAAAATGGCAAATTTCATATTCGGTTCACAATGTTACTAAGTGTATTTTAGTCAAAGTAGTAGGCAAAATCGAAAATTATCATTGTTTGATAAGTAAGAAAGACATAACAGTTAACTCGACAATTAAATTACCAAACGAAACAAAATACAGATATGTTTGTGTGGTGTTTTATTTATTCATTCGTTCATTGTTGATTGAGAAAGAGAAACTGTACAATGTGAATAATTGCATCACGTAAGCCATGCGGTCGTAGATTTGAGTATGGCCGGGGCGGGACATTTCCCTACTAATACTGTCGTGCGTGTTTATTGGGGCGGGAAAATCGAGCTTTGAATTGATCCCTACCAGTGTTGAAACTAAAGCTATTCAGTTAGTCTGTAATATAGTTTGTAATGCCTTAGGGTGGCGCTGTGACCCAAATGTAAGTCTCATATATCACTAGGAATGGGGGTTTCATGTCAGCCTATGTGCTGGGTCTGCTTGCTTTGTTTCTATAGACCTACACTCACCTAAAGGATTATTAGGAACACCTGTTCAATTTCTCATTAATGCAATTATCGAATCAACCAATCACATGGCAGTTGCTTCAATGCATTTAGGGGTGTGGTCCTGGTCAAGACAATCTCCTGAACTCCAAACTGAATGTCAGAATGGGAAAGAAAGGTGATTTAAGCAATTTTGAGCGTGGCATGGTTGTTCGTGCCAGACGGGCCAGTCTGAGTATTTCACAATCTGCTCAGTTACTGGGATTTTCACGCACAACCATTTCTAGGGTTTACAAAGAATGGTGTGCAAAGGGAAAAACATCCAGTATGCGGCAGTCCTGTGGGCGAAAATGCCTTGTTGATGCTAGAGGTCAGAGGAGAATGGGCCGACTGATTCAAGCTGATAGAAGAGCAACTTTGACTGAAATAACCACTCGTTACAACCAAGGTGTGCAGCAAAGCATTTGTGAAGCCACAACACGCACAACCTTGAGGCGGATGGGCTACAACAGCAGAAGACCCCACCGGGTACCACTCATCTCCACTACAAATAGGAAAAAGAGACTACAATTTGCACGAGCTCACCAAAATTGGACAGTTCAAGACTGGAAAAATGTTGCCTGGTCTGATGAGTCTCGATTTCTGTTGAGACATTCAAATGGTAGAGTCAGAATTTGGCGTAAACAGAATGAGAACATGGATCCATCATGCCTTGTTACCACTGTGCAGGCTGGTGGTGGTGGTGTAATGGTGTGGGGGATGTTTTCTTGGCACACTTTAGGCCCCTTAGTGCCAATTGGGCATCGTTTAAATGCCACGGCCTACCTGAGCATTGTTTCTGACCATGTCCATCCCTTTATGACCACCATGTACCCATCCTCTGATGGCTACTTCCAGCAGGATAATGCACCATGTCACAAAGCTCGAATCATTTCAAATTGGTTTCTTGAACATGACAATGAGTTCACTGTACTAAAATGGCCCCCACAGTCACCAGATCTCAACCCAATAGAGCATCTTTGGGATGTAGTGGAACGGGAGCTTCGTGCCCTGGATGTGCATCCCACAAATCTCCATCAACTGCAAGATGCTATCCTATCAATATGGGCCAACATTTCTAAAGAATGCTTTCAGCACCTTGTTGAATCAATGCCACATAGAATTAAGGCAGTTCTGAAGGCGAAAGGGGGTCAAACACCGTATTAGGATGGTGTTCCTAATAATCCTTTAGGTGAGTGTATATACGGTTACTGGAATTGGTATGTCCATAATGTTCGTGCAGTGGGTGGCATCTAGTTTACGGTTGTTAGACACCTCGTGCAGCACAATGCCACATATTATAATAGTATAATAACACATTATAACAGTGACCACTGGCGTGTGCCCCTTTCTTCACCGCGGCCGTGTACGCTACTGCAAAGCGGGCCGAAAGACGAAGGGGAATTAAAGAAATGGGGGGAAATCATCATGAATAATACGTAGCCATGGAGTTTTCCTTTTTTGTTTCACATTTTTTTGCAAGTCATTTCATAAAACAACATTATATTTGTAGTAAACGCACTAAAAGATTGCATAATACAATCTGCGATAGGCCTATATAAACATGAAATTATCTTCACATGCATTTATATCTGCCATTCCAAAGTGTTACAACCGATACACGTGTAATACTGCAGGGAACTAAGTTTGTTTTTGGCAGAGCAACGTATGTCTGCTTCGCTCCCAGATCACTTATTTTGTAATGTTAATGCGCTTCAATAAAAATATTGCTATGTAGGCTATAGAGAGAATGTGGTAAGCTGCAGTCCGTCTGAGTGAACAAACCAAACGGATGGATGGATGGATACTTCAGTAATACCGAAGGAATTTTCAGATTTAGGCTACAGAAATCATTAACATGCAAATTAACGCTGACAATGCAGAGAATGACACAAACTATTACACGGAATTCCATATTAATGGCTCAGTGTGTATGTGGTGAATGGACCAAATCAAACGTTTACTTTGGTATTCCGTGTTCAAAGGGATCACAACTGAGTGAGGAGATACTGCACACGCAGCCAACAACACATGCATGTTACTACAGCAGAACTAAGAGCTGACACATCCACGAGTAGGCCTAATAGCAATATAATTCCATCCATCCATCCATCCATAGATTTTCTGAATCTGCTTATCCTATTCATGGTCCGGAGCCTATCCCGGATGCTACGGGCGCAAGGCGGGGAACAACCCAGGATAGGGCACCAACCCAGGGTTAAAATCAGTATCACGGCAGTTATAACGCGGTTTATATTTTGGGCAGTTTCTTAAAGCGCTGTAATGACGTTATACACAATTTTATTGATAAAAGATTCATGCGTCAAATGCCGATTGCTACGAAGATCTATATATGACTATTTAAATCAAACAGATATTTACAAATTTTAAGTATTTTATTAAAATTCTGGATTTTATTCGTGTTGTGTTATTTTTCTTAATGGAGAAAGTTAATTTAAAAACTAATAGCCCTATATGTTTATCTATATGAAAAATAATTAATAAGGAATAGTCACTACAGGTGGGCAAAGGAATTTGGCATTTTTACATTGTGAGTTGAAACATGATAGCTCTTAATTTGGTTCGGTTTTTAACCATTTACACTTTACACCAGTTGAGTCCACATCCTCGGCTAAGCACAGCAAACGATTAATTTAGACACGGAGGATCAGCAAAGGAGGGGGCGTTTTCAGGCGGGCGTATCAACAGCGTCAACCACCACTGCGGCGTACGACTTACATCTGGCATACTACGAAGCAGATGAGATCGGGACGAAATTGTAGCGCAATCAAATGGACGCCAAAAGAGTAAGTGATCATAAATAAAACACGATTTTGCAAAATTCAAAACTCAATCGCAAATTACGCATGAAATCAGAGAGCGCGCCGTAAGCCGCCGTGCGGTAACATCAGAAATGCCTGCGACGACGCTCCGCCGAAAATGCGTGTCTACATTCATTCATGTGACATTGTCTCGACAAAGTTGTGAGTACGTTAGAGTAAGCAATGCCTCGATAAGCTTTGCAAAAAATTACCCTAAACGCGTAGAATAAAAAAAGGCAGCTTTAGCTGTTTCGCTCAGCCATACAAAGTATTGGTAATACTTAGACCGTAAGAAGCGGTTTATGAAGCCATTTTCTTGGTTCTTAGCCTATAAATTTGATACTGTAACGCGGAGGAGGATTGCTTTTAATACATAGATATTTACATCTGTAAAATGGTGTGCTTCATAACATGTTGTTTGATTAATATGAAATGGGTATTTTTTGTATTTACTTTTTGACATCGAAAACTGAAGAACATTCAAAGAATGCGCTCAGGTGTGTCCCCGTAAAAATATACTATTAATAATATACTATTAATTTATTTATAAGCATCTGGAGCTATCCAGTGCTCTTTTAATGATAGGATGAATCACAGCAAACACTTAATGCTTAAATGCAATTAGATATTCACGAGTCTGATAAATCAAACTTTTTATGTTTTGAAATGATGAGTGTTGTATAACCTAAATCTGTGTACATAAACATTTTTCGTTTTAGTCACGGCTTTCAAATTCCGAATGGAATCATTCTTTTGGTTATATTCCTTTACTGTTAGATCTAGCCCAATGCACGTGCATTTCTACCATATTATAGATAATGTCAAGAATCAAATGAACATCTACAGACCGACGGTCTCCACATAAGTATGTAACGTAAACTCCGTTTTGAGGTTGGCTACCTAAACATTTAATTATTTGCTGCTCACGTGTTATGATTTAGTATTATGGTAAGAATAGTTGACACAGCTGGTCTAAATGGCTTTGTGTGCCATCCACAACAGCAAAACTGTTACAATCAAAATGGCAAAAAAACACAAAAACAAAAAAATAGAGTTGTGTGGAAAAAATATTCTAGGGTCGTGGATTTTTTATTAGTGTTTTCTTGAAGGATGAAGGTTTGGCAAAGGATTCAGTTCCTCTTTACTCAAGATTGGTCAGTGTTCATCACTACAAAGGTGTAATAATTGATGATTATGATGATGATGATTATTATTATTATTATGCTTCCAGCAGATTGACCTGGTGTGGAATCATCAACTGGGTTCCATGCAATTCGACCAAAGGACTTTAACGATGCAGTTTTGAGAATCGCAGTGATGCTCCTCTCCTGGTTTGCAACGTGGAGCTTCACATAAGTGCACATTCCATAAGGGAGCAGGAAAGGCAAAGAGCTGGCCAGTCTCTCTGAAGCCCTCAAGCCCAGGAGCTTTCGCAGATTCCCCACTGGATCTCTGGACGATGGGGTGTGGGGGCAGCAGGACAGATGCTTTGGAGCCCAGGTACATGGAGAGCTGGACCAAGGAAACAGAGTCCACTTGGCTGACAAGCACAGACACGGACATCGCTTTGTCCTCCATCCAAAACATCCCTTCGGAAAATTCCTCAGAGTCGGGCTTCGCATCGGAGAAGAACCTCAACTCAGGTGAGGATACAGTGTTTCGCTTGGTCCCCCTTTTAAAAAAAATGCAAAAATAACCACTGATATGATCATTTTAAAAAGCCTAACTGAATGTGCATTATCATTTTGGGTTAAAATGTGTAATGCACCACGTTATTCTCTGCTAGCTGTAATTTATTTGTTCCTGACTAAACCCCAGTGTTGGGGACAGTCATGTTTGCAAGCAGGTAGTTTGCAGTTGTGTTATGTTCATTTGTAACAGGTGCAGCTGAGGTCATAGTAGTGAGTGAGGGAGAAAAAAGCATCAGCCAGTTCTACTATTAACAAGGTCTTTTATGCGGTACTGAAAGTATATGACCTGAATTTTGCAAAAAAAAAAAACAAAACAAAACAATGTATTGCCTTAAAGAAAGGTAAACATTTTGTTCTACATGGGTTAAGATAAACACAGTAAAAGAAAGCAAAAATAGAAAAGTGCCATTCTGCTTTTCCGGTCGTGTTTATCTTTTTGCTAAATTAATCATGATACCATCTGAATTGGTGAAAGTATTGCCTTTGGCTGACCGCTGCCAGTCATCTTGATCACTGCAGTATTACCATAGCAGTGTAGTAGCAGTAAGCGTCGTATTGCTCAGCAGACCGGATAAACAAAATTGATTTCTTACGAAAATGGCCTCTGATGGTCTCACTTTCAGTCTTTGTTTAAATGCATATGGTGTTGCAGTATAGGACTCTAACACACAAGGCTTGTGCTTAAACCACACCCAGCGCTGAATGTCAGCTGATTCAACTGCAAGCAGATAAGTATAATAGCTTGCATGAAACGCTTGGAAAATGTTCTATAAACCAGTATTTTTAATAATTTTAATTAAATTGATCAATTGAATTGTTATTAATATTCAAGTCATACCTTCACTCTCTGGGTTTGTGGAATTTGTGTGTGATCTTCAAATTGCATTGATTCTTTCCCACATTGCAAGAATATACAGTTAGATTAATTGCCCACAGTGTATGACTGTGTGTGTGGGTGGCATCCCACTGGCATCCCATCCAGGTTGTTCCCCAGCCTGGTACCGTGGCCACCAAAGATTGTCACGGTCTCCCTGGGACAGGCTCCAGGACCTCTGTGACAGGCCAGGATGAATGAGCAGAAGATGGGTGATCATGAAATGTGTATACCCAAGTGGAAATACTGCAAATCTCTCATGGATTTTTAGAAATAACACATGATTTTTACCTCTCTGAGCACTCATCATTATGAATGAGTCACAAAATAGGGGTTTTCTGAGGCATATTTGATCAAAAGGGTGAGGAGAAGCGTTGCACACCAGTATATGAAGGAGATCAGGAAACAGCACTGATTAGCCGAGAAAATCCAAGGCGCCTTGTTGCCATGGACACAGCTTCAGAACTGGATCACTGCGCAGACTAGATATACAGATAGCAAATGAGCAAGGATTGTACAGGTTCGAAACTTTCGATTGAAGACATGCTGTACACACAACCAGTCATTATCTGCTCCTGACACTACTTAGTTGGACTTTTCGGTCCAAACTGTGTTTTGAAGTAATTTTATGTTATTATGCTATTATTGCACAGACAGAGGATGTGAAGCCCATTAATTAGGTGCGCTTTTCAACCCTCTAAGTTAAGCTGCAGTAATTATTTTTAAAAGTGGTCTGTGAGTTAAGTCTGGTGGTGAAGACCAGCAATACCATTATTCACACATTACCTCTGCGAGGGATCAGACCTTAGCGTTTATCTCCAGCATTAATGGCCTGACTTTTAGCACTAATTTTTTAGCATTTGGTTTTCTAGGGAAGTGTGAATGAGGACCATTATCTTGTAAATAATTCCTTGCCGTCACAATACATAATCTACACTGAATGAATTCTCAGGCCTGAGAAATTGTCTCAGAAGAATAAAGAAATATTCTTTTTTTTTTCTTCTTGAAACTTGTGAACAAATAAAAGTATATTTAATGTGTTTTTTTTTTTATTTAGATTGTCATTTAGGTTATAATCAGGCTTTTCAGATAAAACTCCAGTCTAGATGGTTTTTGTCTAAAGGTGATAAGTTTAATTAAATTTTAATTTAATTTAATTCGGGAGCAGAATATGGATGCAAAGCAGATCACAATATAGATATCCATTGGCATGTCTAAAAACAGTTTTTGCACCCATATCTGGTTAGTTTCAGATTTCTTCGACGATGGACTCCCAGCTCCAGCTCAGGCTTATCTGAAGGTTTGTTCAGCCATATCTGAGGCTGGCCGAACTGAGGTGAAGACAGGAAGTAACAATACCTCACAGGACCAAGTGGTGGCGCCCTCTCCGGGCACCACCTTACAGAAGAGAGTCCTGTGTACCGAGGAGATCGTACGTAGCATCTCCATTCCATTTTATTTATCGTTTTATTCGAGCACGGAGTAAATCACGACTCTCTGTTTCAACAGACCAAGTGGCAGGACAACCGGATGTCCTCCAAGCAGGTGACTATCACTGTGACGAAGAGCATCAGACAGGTGGACAAGAGCGGGAAGATCAAGGAGACGTCCCACACGACCTTCGAGGTCATGAAGCCAGCAGATGGGCCCACAGAGCCAGTGGCAGCTAAGGGCATGAAGTGAAGGACTCACTAAAGAAAGACGGCTATCCCTAAGGGCGTAACTCTGACAGACTGCAAGTGTCACCCCCCCCCCCACCCCTTAAAATGTGCTGTCACCTTGGAGCATGTCATGCTGCAGGAGGGACAACGATGTGAACAACTGAGTCATTATTCATTTTTATTTTCCCATTAAACAACTGCTACTATAAATCTTGAACATCATGGAATAAGCACTGATAAGCTGCTTCAGAGATGTCCTGACCTCACGTAAACCAGATGAAATCGGTTACTAGGCAGAATTACAATACGATTAAGTAAGTTAACGTGATTAAATGATATATTGTAATAACGTAATTTCAAAGACAATAGCATTTATATTATTAAGTATAAATGTGTCATCCAGGGTGTCCCATGAGCTTCCTGGGATGAGCTCCAGTTTCACTGCGACCCTCCACTGGAGAAGGAAGGTGGATGGACGAATGCATTTAAAAGCACCGTTTTACGTACATAAAAACTGGGCCAAATAACATTCAGCCTATTTTCCCAGCACAGCTATGTATATTACTGTCTTCCAGGTTGTATTGTGTCATTTCCTGTAATTCTGTAATATCAGCGGGGGACTCCAGCATATTTGAAATGGAGCGTTTAGTGTAACTTACTTTCAGCGACACCTGCAGGGCATTTGCTCATAACAAAAACGGCATTTAACTCTCAGTCAAATGCTGGTGGGGCGTATGGTGTCAAACTGCAACTGCCAGTGAGGAAGTGCAGGTTTTTACTTCTGCAGATGGGCCTTAAAAAGGGCATGTGACTGTATATACAGACACAGAACCTACGTTGCAACAGATGCCGGTCATCACGTCTACAACTTCCCTAGTTGTCATTTGTAATGAAGAGCAAAGCTCATCAGTGTTTTAAAGTTACATATTTAATTTCTCAGCAATTCCTTTATTTCTGAGGTCAGACAAATAACTCGCAGTATAATCCTTCATCGAAGTTCTGATCCGTTATCTTTAGTCAAAGCATGACCACCAAAGACTGTCACTGTCTGCTGCCCATCTCAGAGTACGCAGTGGTCCCACTGACCAAACATTCCTTACGTACGTTAGGTGAACCATACTTCACGCAATGTTGGAATGCCGGCAGCTTTGACAAAGCTGCACGTGGAAGAATTCATTCTGTTCAAGATCAACTGCCAAATCGAGATTGTACAAATAAAATCTTATGTTTTACTGAAAGAATCACTTGCAAAAACCCTGAAGACCTGCCATTCCCTATGTTTCCTTACAAGTGGTGTGAAATCGGGACTGGAGCCCAGCCAGAACAATTAAACAACACGGATCATGATGGATATAGCTGAACTGCTTATACCATATTTCAATTATAGGAGGTAATGAAAATTGTAACTTTCATTCCAACAATTTCATATTACAGTCTATACGTTTAATGTAAATGATAAAGTATGAACTAGAAAATTCTTCCAAATATGTAAATGTGATTTATTTACAATAGAAGTGAATATAGCCTAAAACATTCTGGCCAATCTTGATTGTTTGCTGTTAGTTTGCTTTCTTTCACGACCTTTTGTCTTTACTCTGGTATAATTTATCAGTCGCACTTCTGTCAAAACAGTTCACTACGATTGCAGAGAAACAGCCACAGTGCTAATTTAACGCCGATGCTGTTTACATGTGTCCGGCTGAATTAACGGCGACAGCTTTTGCTGTGGGTGAAGCGTTAAGCTTATATTTCGTGCTCATGTTTCCTGGCAATTTGAGACGATTCCAGCGTTGTCTCGATGCAAAAAAGCAGAATTGAGCGCTCAAGGATGGTGGCCGCAACTCGATCCCCTGAGAGGCATCGCGCCCTGGTGTGGGTGTTTGACCTGTCAGCCTCTCCGGCTGTCATGCTGTTCCCAGCACGGTGTGTATCCTTCTCTGCTGGTCATATTCCACATGCCCCGTCCGGAAAAATGGTTCGCTCCTTTCCATCCACTCTCGCACATTGAACTCCGGAAAGAAGAAGGCGATCTCTCTGTGGGCCGACTCCACCGAATCTGGGGGCACATAATTCAAGGTTGGGTACGAGAGGACACTGGTAGCTCCACCCCTCAGGAAATACCGGGCAACAAGGAGCAGGATCTCCTTGGCACACCAGCAGATGACCATCACCGAACTTTTAGGTTTGTTAGGATTTTTCCTCTATAAAGGTACTAAAGAAAATAAAACAGCCACTGTACAGGTAGTGTGCAAATACTTATCATCTACACCAGGGGTGGCCAATCTTATCCGCAACGGGCCGGTGTGTATGCAGGTTTTCGCTGCAACTCCCTAATTAGATTACTAATTAGAGGACTGATTGGCTGAAGAGTCCTCACAACTGGGTTTGAACAGCTGACCTACAGGTTATTCCAAAAACCTGCATACACACCGGCCGTTTGCGGATAAGATTGGCCACCCCTGGTCTACACTGTCAGAAAAAAGGAAGGAGTACTAATTTGTACCTTTGCTTGTACCCTCAAGGGTCAGCCAATTGTACCGTATAACTGTAGGTAATTGTTGTACCACTGGGGGTACATTAATGTTGTTTGCACCTTGGGGATGTAGCTCGGAGTCCATTTGTGTACCTAAAAAAGGTACATTTACCTTAAGCTAAGGTACATTTGGCAGACCCAACACTGGTATACAGCCCACATGACAAGCAAAGATACAAATTGGTACTTTTTTTTTATGACAGTGTATATACAACAAATGCAAAAATGTATAAATATAATGAAGTTATTTTGTGGAAAGGAGAGCCAGAAGCATGACGACATTCCCTACACAGTTATGCTCTGACATGCAAACCAAGCGACCCGTTGAAACCTCGACATGGCCAGTCATTGGACAGAGAGACTACCTGAGCCATGAGTAGTGTTCCTGGTGTCTGTTAGCCCATACAGGGCTCGCATGCTGCTCGGGGACGTGTACCGAGCCCGGAACACTTTGGTGGGACCCATCAGCTCCCTCCAGCGAGAGATGGCGTCGTCCCGGGCCAGGATGTACGCCTGCATTGGGCCACTGCAACAACCAATCAGTACAATGTATTTTGTTCCATAATAGTGGAAGAAACAGCCATATGAGCCAAATGCTATGAGCCAAAGCTAACCCTACGGGTAATGGTCTTCAGCATGGTGAGTCACTGAGTGACGTCCAAAATACATTCGCAGGAAACACCTGGATTCCTTGATGCTACTTCAATACATTGCAATTGAACACTGAATAAGTCTTAAAAATTACCAAAGATTCACAACCACCTTCACTATACATTTGATCTGTACATCTTTCTACAGATGCCCATAAGATATCCTGCCATACAATGTTCCACTAATTACTGAATGGCATCAATGGACTGACAATTATTATTACTTAATTATGATTGTGTTTCTTACTATATTACAGTCAATCAACATTGTAAAAACAAAAGGTCCTCCAGCTGCTAATAACGTTCTATATCAATGAGATGGAAATGAAGAACACAGCTCCACCTTTCTACTCCTTATGCAAGAACCACTGGTGACTAAGCTGAAGTGGAACTTTAGCAACAAAAGAGGAAAATTCACTTTGCTGTGTGCTGTATACAGGCTAAATCCTAAGTGCCTTTCTCCTTACCTGGACATGTATTCAACCAGCCTTTGGTAGAAAAATCTTCCTGAAAGACCAAAAGACAAATAAAATATGGTGACTCATCCAAAATGGATGGTTTAATGAGGACTTGTCATTTAGAAGGCAATTGTAACACAGCACTTCTGCTGCTTAGATATCCTCTGCTTTCACATTAGTATTGTTGCAGCAGAGGAAAATAGGAGGTTTTCACCTTAAGGCTGGTATGATCCATACAGACCCCCGCTGGTTCTGTTACACAGCCTGCTGAGCACGACTTACTTGGGAGCTCGTGGTGGAATAGCAAGCATCCTATTAAACAGCGATCAATGGGATGTTGCTTGTTACTCCATTAAATCCCCTCCAGGGAGACCCAGATCTATCGTGTACAAAAGCTTGGATGGCGACGCGTGACTCCATAACATGCTGTTGTATGATCCTGGGGGGGGTGGAGATACTGGCATTAACCAGAATCTAGTGACGTCAAGAGCGGAATGAAAATGGGGAAAAGGTCTTGAGGGATGAATGAGTCGAAGCAGTGCTGCTCTAGCAGGGAGGGGGTCCTTTGATTATCAAATGAAAATGAATGGTATAAGCTCACATTGCAATGCGGCTGCCTGTTCAATGTACAGCCTCTTCCCTGCCAGAATCAGCTGATGGCAGCAGTGTCACTAAACAGACCTCACGTTTAACTGTCACATAACACTCTGAGCCCCACATATGCATATACAATGCACCTTCTCGACATGCTTACAGCAAGCCTTACTCTTGGTTTGTTAAACGTGTAGGACATCACACACAGATTCTGATTTATTTCCATTTCAGTCCCATCATTTAACACCACAACACACAGCATCTAAAGAAACGGCAAAATTCACACAGCGGAGTGAATTTGATTTTCATGTGTATTTGGTAGCCTGGAAAAAGACATCATGTTCAGCTCTAAATACTTAGCGTGTTAAGTGTGAGGAGAGAGTGCAGATGCGGGAGCGACATCAGAACATGGAGGAATGTAAACAAAACACTGGGACTGCATGCAAGACAAAGAGTAAAATTAAATTAAAAAACGGGGAGATTACAGATCCTGTCAGTCACACTTACTGGGTTGCTGGGGGGTACATAAAAATACTATAGCTCAGAATGAGAGATAAGCACAAACTAATCCATACAAATAACCTCACAGTAACCCTTAAAATTTTTTGCCAATGAAACAGAGATCTGCAATATTCCTTAACACACTTTCGATCTTAGGAAAGAGATGTCAGTCTGTGTATACAGCAGCAAACTGAGACACAGATGACCTGTGCAAGGCTGCGGTGACGAAGCAGTCAGGCCGTGGGAGCAGGACAGACACAAGCTGTCTCTGTGAGAAGAGTGCATCAAATCCCATTGATGTTAACATAATGGAAAAAAAAACAAATCACAAATTTGAACTGCAGCTAAAATGGGCTAAAAGCAGGTGCATCCTAACACAGAAAACTAAATAGTTTAATTAAATTAGAATTAAATGAACTATATTCTTGTCACAGAGTACCAAATCTCATAAAAAAAAAAAACCTTAAAATCTAATTCATCTGTTAATCTGGTCAGACTCTGTAGTAGCATGTTTCCGCTCAGCATCTTTAGACCTGAAGAGTCGAGGCAACTTTTAAAATCAAGAACATGAACAGGGAGAACCAGGTGTGTGCCTGAGCTGCAGGGCATGCAGAGTGCAGGGCGCGAACGCTGCCCCCCAGTGGTCAACGTGAAAGCCAGCCCTCCTACATGCTGCTGCAAATGGTGACATTTAACAAAACCCTCCACAACCCTGCCAGTTCACAAGGCTACCCCCCCTCCCCCGCCATTCATATAGGCCTGCAAAAATATCACCATGGTGATAAAATTGACATCAAACACCAGAGGAAAAAAAACGATGATACAAGGAGACCAAACAGAATTAATTATACACATAAATGAGAGTTAATGAATCACATGGGCCTCATGAGATTTTTTTTAATCCACAGTGATACCTGTATATTCTGTATGTATTTTGTATTTGTATCTGTTCTATATGCATCTGTTTTTGCGATGTTTCACTAAGACAATTCCGATTTGTGCCTCTTCCAAAAGTGAAACTAAAACGTCACTGATTTTGTGACATGTACTCTTAAATTAAAATTACATTGAAATGATAATAAAACTACTGACTGAACTTATCAATTGTGAAAATGGAGCATAAAGGCACTGGCACCCATTCTAGAGAGGCAGAGTCACCTGACCATATAGCTTTGTGACACATTTTCCATAAAATGGCACTCGTCCCTGGGTGTGGTTTTCAGCACCTGTGGCAGTTTTTCACATCCACATGCTGCATGCTCAAATGACAAAATACCTGCCCCCACCCCCCCATCTGTTTCCTCAACATACTACCTGCATGTTCCGCGTAAAACCTTTCTGACTCTTGCCTCTTCCACACCAGCTCTCTCGATCTAATGACAATGAAGTTGTTCTCGAGGATTTTTTGGTGGAGAGCCTGTAATGAAACAGCACCTAAGTTGTACCATGCGCTACATTACCCAACAAAAACTATGGTCAGCGTCTAAAGACAGACATACATTTCTTGCATACACATGAAAAGACTTCAGAGAGACTTGCATTCATTTTGTTTTTAAAATCAAACGGCATGCACTTTTTAAATCTGCCTCTAACATGAGATGATAGCTGTTATTTTGTAAGAAAATCACTCCCTGTTCCGTCATCTAAGCTAATAAAAAACGAACAAAATTCAAGCAGATAAAAGCAGTACAATCAAGTATGCCTTCAGTCTTTTATGCTGAAGGAAATTGAGTCGGATATTATGAAAGAAGCAAGTTAATTAATGTTTTTGTCTCCTTCCTCTATTAATAAACATGCATTCAAAAGGGTAATGTCACATAATATTGAAAATAGCAGACAGCTATAATCAATGCATTGCTCCTCCAAATGAAAAGCAAAAAAAAAAAACTAATTAAGCTGAGAGATTATTAATTTTCATTTCTTCTATGCTGGTGGGAAACTCCATGTAGCGAGAATGCATTGCCACTGGCAATAGTTTTTTTTTTTTTTTTTTTTTTATTAGTTGAGCTTTTTGAAATCTGCTGTCCTTTTAAGGTTTACTGCACACTAAGCTATTAGCTGTTGTAAATCAATAGATCCACTTCAATATACGATTTTAATGTATCTGAAACAATACGGCCAACAATTTATAGCTAACACCGTTCAGCCACAGGGATAGTGGTAAAACATTAAACTGTATAAATTTACAAATAGCTTTGAACAAAACCATAAATGTAGAGAAATATAAATGCATTTACCTCCAGTATCAAAGGATGAGCCACCGCATCGGGTTTTACGATCGCGAGAGTGAGCTGTAGGGCTTTCCCACGGCGTAGTGTAGTCAAAAGCATCCTGAATCCGGAACACAAACATTTATTACAGAATATATTTAGTGCTAAACGTTAATTTCTACTCAGTATAAATTTGATATAGATATACTGAGAAGTCAGCTCCTTGTGGAAAGCCAAATACGGGTTTTCTCTAAATACTAAGCATATTTCAATAGCTGATAAATAAATAAAGTTCGTTATTTAAGTATGTAAGTCACACCAGGCGAAAGTTTTGTGATACATTAAGAGAAATATTTCCAAAAAACTGGCACCAGTAAGCAACTACTAGAAAGAGTAGTAGCTAAACAACAATAGCTTATTTAATATTTTAGATGCCGAAGTTCTTCTATACAGACTACATATTTTTTGTTCTCAAAGGCACATAATTTCAACTAATTATTTATAAGGTTAGCTAGCCTTCAGAATATGTGATCACTGACCTCAAGCGTGGCTAACGGCTAAGTAGCAGATTTTGTTCGTGACCATATTCACCAATAACTGCTCTTGACATCGAATGTTTATAAAACTGAATATTTATACGTTACAAAAATAACGTTATTGACAGTAAAACGACTGACGCTGGTTAGCATATGCCGGTTTAGTGTCGGTCCGTCTCTAAACATTTTCCCCCCAAATTCCATCATTCTAATTTACGTTCCGCAAATGGGATTTTTGTAGTCTGTTGAAATTTATGATGGGAACTTTAGGCTACTTATAAACACAGCTTATATAATCAGACATAATTAAATGAATTATCTGAAATGTAAAGCTAACATATGCAGTTGATCTCTGGGATATATGCTAGGGTAAAAATAAAGGTACACAGATGCAGGATTCCGAAATCGACTTTAGTGACGAGTGCATTAACCATTAGGCTACAATGTGCCAGTTCATTTCAGTGAGTATACCTGTTTCCGCTCACGTCCAAAGTGAAGGGTTCGAATCTCACCCTTGTTCTGTTTGGCTTGTGTCACGTGGGTAAAACCATATATTTAGATTAATTGGTATATTTAAATTCCTTATGTAGTGTGTAGTTGCGAGCATGTATAGTATAAATCGTTTGCTTGTAATTACTGAAATATTTTTATTAAAATGTTGTTGAATTTGTTGCGTTCTAAAACTGAGTCTTAGTTGATTTTAGTTCTGAAAAATGAACAAACAAATAAATAAAACAAGATATTGACTGCTTTAATGCCAATTTACCTTCAGTATAACGCATTTTCCAGTGTAGGACTGGCAGCAATATTGTAAGAGCGATATATATTCAGTTTACTATTGTCTGATTACTGAGGATGGAGTATTTGAAGGGGGTGTCGCAATGTGGCAATGTGCAAGAAACTGACTCATTTTAATAAGGACTGGCTGACTACTGGGGATGTAATGGTTGAAGGCGTGTGGCTATCAGAAAGAGACTAGCTCATTTTATTAATACTAGGCGAATCAGCTTGGTCTAATGGTATAACAGAGTCCGCAGTTTAATTATGCATGCCACAGCAGCAATGCTCCTACCGAGACAGATCGTAGTCTTCTTACCAGTGCTGCCATTAGCCCAGCAGTTGTCAGCTCTTCCAGAAGGAGCAGCTGCATTCCAGTTTCAGGGCTTAGGCATCAGTACTTTTTTACGACCTTGTGACATACTAGTCACATGACAGGATTATATGCCTCATATAGCTAGTAATGCGTGTTTAATGTGATCATTTTATCATTGAATTCCAAATGATAAAATAATAGACATTTATAAAGCAGTGGTTTTTCTTTTTGTTAAATCTTGTAATTTACAGTTAAGCACTAAAATGTTTGCTTAGCTTTGATAATTTCTTTAAAAAACATTATCTACTTTGCTGACCTAACTGAACACATGTACAATGCACATCCCTTTATAGAGTAGGATGGAGTACAACAACCAGATTTCTCCTGGGACCTGAACTGTAATCTGCAGTTTAGGAGTTAACATCTTTCATTGCCATGTTATCTGCCACAGAGATAAATAAAAATGTTACCGCATTTATCCACAATGTCCATTAATCCAAGCCCAATAATTCTGTCATTTAAACAATTTGTTGAGTTATCCTGTGGATTCCTGTTATTGTTGCCTTTTTAAGAGTATTATTGTTGTTACTTTAGTAGACATTTTATTGTGAAGGTTTGGAATGCATTGCACCGTATTACATCAGCCACGAAGTTCAAAGTGGCATGTATTTTTATCCATGTAGATGCAAAACTTAATATGGTCTTTACAGTGGGGGATTAACTGCCAATTAATGGTGAAGAATACAAGATCCTCCCCAGATGAATTGTAAAGTGCTTCAGCCTGGAGCTCTCCAACTTGAGTGGGCTAGAGAACAGTATTGGCCAAGAATAGTTCCTGTCACATGACTGGTCTTAGGTGCATGACCACAGTAATTAGGGCACAAGTACAATTATACATTCACACAACCATACTGTGTTACTCTACTTACACATACGTTTACATTCATTTATTTGGTAGACAAATACAAAGCAATATACAATGGAGGTAGGTAGTACTTCACAAACATAAAGTTGGCATAAGAGAGGCTAGGTTGAGCATTCAATGAATGAGCAGTAATAAGTGTGAGAAAGAGTTGCACATATAGCATGTAATATGTCAGTAATGAGCTTTTCTGCTTTTGTCTCAATTACTTCAGTCTAAATAAGCTGTACTTACATGTATGAAATATATTCAGGCATATATACACAAAGGCTATATAAATACGTAAACTGCTTAGTTGTGTGACAAAGTTTATTGTCCAAAAACATTTATTTCAGTGCTTTTCACAGGATGAAGCTACCTTTGTGTGGCCTTGACAAGCTTTCCACCTGTTCTCCATTGTGACTGAACGCAGACGCCCTTTGACCTTTTCTTTTCCACCCTTGACAATCTGGGGCCTTTCAGGCAGCCGGTGCCTGAGCTCATGGGAACAGCTGTGTGAACTTAATTCAGAGCAACTGGCACGCCGACGGAAACGTGGCCCTGCCATGTCACGACAACTGGTGAGTCAGCATGTACTCCGTCACCGATGCAATAGGGATCGCAGCACTTCATGAAATAGACACTTTGGACTCAAAATATTATTTGCCTTTTTTCCTGTTGGTTTGATTACTGGTTTAATACAGAGAGGGGGCAAAATAACTGAAGCACCACCTGAAAAAGATTATCAACTTTGAAGTATATGAATCACCAATTTGTAACTAGACAAATTACAGTTGTAGCTACAAGGTGAGTCATTGTTTTGGGTGCCAATTAGCAGGAGGTGTCAGCTATAAAAAGGCCTGACACATAGTATGTTAGTATGCGATTACTTATTTCAAACTAACCTGAGGCTACTAACAAAGTTCAGAGGGAGCCAGATAATTGGGGTCTGCACTAGAGGTCAGGACTCCAAAACTAGAAATGGTAAAATAATTTAATGTGGGGAACAGCCTCAAAATTCATGACAGCATATGAAGACGTAAAGCACGTTTGCAGAGAGGAAGTGTGATCTCTTCGGACAAAAGCATCTGCTATATAAATACATTTGGATGTAAATGTAAACAAATTCTAGAGTCGTTACATGAATACCTGAATGAATGAAGTCAAACACCTTCTGTCAAACACCACTGAAACTTTATGGAAAGAGCCGGAGTCTAAAGTATAGAACATTTTTCTATCTCCATCATCTCTCAGTGAACTGGGGGCTTCTCTCCTATCCATCTACACACGGTTCACAATGAATCCCAAGAAGCTGGATGGATGTAGTTTGTATTTTTGTTGCGCTTTCGATAATGCTTCACCTCACAGTGAAATGAGAGCGGTAGTGATTCTCACAATGAAAGTTAATTTCATATATATATATATATATATGTATTTCTCAGTGTTATTATTATAAAGGTTTTTATCTGTCTCTGACCCAAGTTTTAAATATTAAATATAGTCATTCAGATATCCATCCATCCACTGATGTTCATTAGTAATCAATTTCCCAGATGTTTCAAACTACACACAAGGTACTTCTGTAGAGCCATGCAGATTTTTGGTCAGAAATCTGAAGGTGTCCCTTGCCTCATGTCCTGTGTTTACTAGTATAAACTGTGACCACACAATGGACAAAGGAACTTGGCTGGATGTCAGTATCCTACCAAATTACTCAACTTGTAGTTTTTACATTTGAAATCATTGTTGGTTGCTTAAGAGCCTGGGATGGGCACAGGATTATTTTTTTTGGGGGGGCATATATGCACACCCCCAGCCTCCTGTTACAGCGGAAGGCAGGGGACAGTTACAGTACGGCTGGTCTTCATCTTTCCCCAGGACCAGGGAGCAGGTCAAAGCAGCGGAGGGGGCAGAGATGTTGCTGTTTGGGGTCCTTCTGCTCGGAGGACAGCTGCTGACTTCAGGCTGACACGCCACTCAGTCACTGAGCGGGTTTTGAGGTTCACCTTCTCAAAGCAGGGCTGACCGTGCGTGTGGGAAGCACAGCCAGCAACCTAAAGCATTTTCCAATAAGGCCTCCCATGACATTCACCTCAGGAAACATGATAGTTTGACAATCTGAATAATATCTTACAGGAGGAAACTACACTGTTCACTCTTCTATAGCAAATCATCAGTGGAATATTCCATCCATCCATCCGACTTATAATTTCTGATCATGGCCAGAGTCATGGGGGGGTGGGGGTGGGGGGTGGAGCCTATCCTTGGCAGCATAGGGCACATGATACAAGTATACCCTGGGCAGGATTCCAGAGTAATATCCCAGAAAGAATATTTGCACTCTTTTCCAATATTTAGAATATGTGTATAAAATAAATGTAAATGAAATTAAGCCATGTGTATTAATCATAGTTTTATTCAACTACAATTAAAAGTGCACTAATTCGAGGTATATGACCTCTCTTGTGTTTGTGTGTTACGCTAGGATCCTGCGTGCTGAGGCTAAGCAGGTTACACGGTGATACTCTGCGGGCACTGTCGGAGGAAGAGGGCGGCCAGAATGCGCCAAGCTATTTGCGGATACCGTATACCTCGGGAATAGCCACGGCGTTGGATTTCAATATAAGCCGGTTTTAGTGCCATAGCTTTCTGTGAATGGGAGCCCGGTTCCTATCCCAGGCTGATTTTAGATCACAGGTGTTGACCTTAGCTACTGTGGATGGGGGGCACTTCGTGCTCGTTCCCGTGACTCTGGCAGGGATGAGATGCAGCCTCTGTGCTAAGGAAAGGTATCATGCTGCCTCAAATCTGATAAACATATAATTTTGGTGTAAACACCACAATGCAGGACACTGGATTTTATTGTGCAATAAATAAATTTCTAAAACGACACAGCAAAGTGTTTAACTCACACAATCGTCTCTGTTTTCTTATTTCCTCAGTCTCACTGCAACCTGACGGGATACTGGGCAGCACAAGGACAGGCCTACGTATAGGGGGTATCGTTTTAAACAGAAGTGTATTCAAGTGAGCTATTTAGTGGAAAAAAAAAACTTGTTTGGGCAAGGATTTACTGAAAAACATTAATCTGGTAGGGCTATCTACATGAAAACTGATCAAACCTAAGGAAATTTCATTAGAGCATTAAACATGATTTACAGAAATGTAAGAATATCTTTAGGTGTATATGTATGAAGCTTATGATGTGCTTTGAAACCTGTAGACTTTAGTACGTTACTCATACTAAATACGTCTTGGATATATATCTGTCTTATCTTGGGAAAAAAATTTTTTTCTTCATGAGAAATTCAACTTGCATGTATAGAGGTCACACATATGTGGTAGACGTGGAACTAATACAATAATATATACAGACCCGCGGAAACGTCACATTGGATTTATATATCAGCGGAGATATGAGGTTTAATTTCAGCAGTGTTCTTTTGACCATTTTCCGCTGCTCTGTGCTAATAAAAAGCTTTCCACAGTTGTTTCCAAAGGGCTTTTTTTTTCAGGAGCCATTGACTGGCGGTTAAAGAGGAGCATTAGGTATAGGGTGTCTGAAGCGGAGTGCGAACAGCTGAGAGGTGTGATTTCACAAGCTCGCTCTCCCTGTCACAAGGCTGATTGGGCTGGACAGGAGGTGCAGGAGAGGCCCAGGCTTCTAAAAGACACCAACAGGTGGGAGGCCGCTGTGGAGGGGGGCGGCGGGGGCTAGAAAAGGCTGGCCAGCAAGGCCTGCTCTGGACACAATCCAGGAGCCGGACGCAGATGAGGATAATGTTGGAGGAGGAAAACAGGAAAACAGGGAGGCTGGCAGGAAAAAAGATGTATTGGAGATTTTAAGCATTTAATTTGCAAAGCAATTCTGAATTCTGTAGAAGGAACAGGTACTGTTTTGGTCATTTCTGTCTTTTGGGGTTGTTACTTTTCTATCTTAAGATCACTGTTAATTCTAGCAGTCTGGTTTTGTGGACATGCTCTTTATCGGTTTTCAGTAAATTTTTTAAATACATGCATACCTTTATAATGTGTTTATTATGTCTTTATTAGATGAAATCCTAATAACGGGTTGCAATTTAAGTTATCAGTTCAGACGTAATAGTAATTAAACAGTTTCACGTTTTTTGTTACCTAAATAAGTGATAGAAATGAAATGATGATGAGACTGGCATTGCTCTGAAAATATTCAGACTAAAACCAGTAAATTGAAAATGCGCTATTTTTAAGGAGACCAAGTAATGTAAAAATCCCAAACATTTTCTGGGCATATATTTCAGTGTTTCATTGCTCAGGATACCACTCACAACATTCTCCTGAGTGGTTTTACTCTATATTGTCACATGTAATTGGAGTCTATAGGGTGATCTCAGAAGAGATCCCTGCCTCTTTCTGGGGACATGGAATAAAAAATATCCACAGAATGACTTTTGACAAAAATAATGTGTAGATCCTTCTGTTAAGGAAATATAGTTCTTTGGAGAGTGAGCAGTATGTAATACATTAATGGCCTTTATCCTAACACATTAGATGGCTTCTCTACAGGATGTGAAAAAGAGCAGAATCTCACAGGAAAGGCTAGGATCAGGCGGCAGCACTGTCACGTACGAAGGGGGAGCGGGATGCCACCGTGTCCGGGTGACAAAAGTCTCCTTTGATCTGCATGTGGATCCCCTTGCTTTCTGGGTAAAGAAGGGCACGGATTGCTGCTCGGACGAGGAGCACTGAGAACCATTTGGGCCGTTAAGAGACACCCGGGGTGTATGGGGAGAGGATGAGGTCGACTTGCATGGCTGCTCTGCTTGGCTGATGGCTCCCCTGCCTTCTGATTTAATCCATGGCGTCGGGATGCTATCTATCCAATCAGGCTGGGAAAAATATATATAACGGAAACTTTAAAATTCACAATGAGGTATGATAGTGTCATTAGTCTGCTATATAATTGCTCACACACCATTGTGTTAGAACTCTTGGGGCTCCTACCATTTTAAAAGTGATGACTTGATGTGGCCACTTAGAACATGTAGTAATGTGGGTAACTTTACACGGTTTCAACACGGCATGATGTTCGACGGAAAGCATGTGACGGATGTGCTGTGGCGGCAGGCACTCGTGCATGAGCAAATGCGAAAGGTGACCTTTCAGGGAAGGGCCGTTTTGGCCGGCCCGCTTAATCCTCCATTATGTCACCCGAACTGCACGTGGCAGACAACTTGCTAAGGACTGACTCAGCCAATCAGGTTTTGGGATTCTGTAGTAGTAGCCAATAGGAAATGAGCATAACTTCAGTCCAGTGAATCTGAATATGTTAGTGTAATTTTAAGGAGAGAATTATCATAAAGAAGAAATCCAAGAACTCAACTGGAAGCTGTCAAATTACTGGAAAGGTAGCATATTCATTTTCTACACCTGTTTGTCCTATGAAGGGTCACAGGCTAATATAGCTGCCGGTGTTGTCACACTACATGCCCTTTGCTGCTGTTTAAGGGATACTATGCTATGCTATGCTATGCTATACCATACCATGCTATACTTTTGCTATTTGTATTGCTAACTGTTAATTTGGCTGGCTCTGGTTTGGGTCCAGGCTCTCTAGTGTATTTGAAAGGATGCATTGTGTCTGGAGCCAGGGCATCCAGTTGTTGCTCTCTGAGATGACATGCTTCCTTATATCCCCATATGAATAAGTCAGTTATGGAATGTAAGGAAGTGTGTGGTTTCGGGAAGGACTTGAGCTCCGTTAAAGAATGCCTTCATGCCTCAAAACAAAATAACGGCGGCAAAGAACTTGGAATTCATCCTGCCAAAGCAGACACGCCAATGTGTTGTGGGAATATTGCTCCTTTAAAAATCCTGTCGTTTGTGAGTGTGTCTTGGAGTAAGGCTGCGGGAGAGAAAGTGATTGACGTGATAATGTGAGAATGCCAGGTGCAGATCGTGTCCCTACACAGAGAAAAGCGGCCCCCTGGCATCTAGGTTTATGCCCCCCCCCCCCCCCCTCCCCCCGAGCATGTGCCCTGAGTGCACTGGGGTACGATGTGGACTCCCATCTCAAATCCACAAGGCCACTGGGAGTGACAATCAAAGTTAATTGGTAGAGAGCATGTGTAACCTATTATAGCTCATATAGCAGTGCTGCCCAATCTGGTCTTCTAGGACCAACAGTTGGTCCATATTTTTGCTCCCTCCAGGCCCCTGCCAGAGAGTCCATATTTTTGCTACCGGGAGCTGGGAGGAAGCAGAAGCATGGACTGTCTGTGGGTCCCTGAGGCTGGCATGGGCGGCAGGTGGGGCTATAGGAGTGGTGACCTCATGGACAGTGTCCAAAGGGCGCTGGAAGTTGAGCCCAGAGAAGGAGACGCGCTGGGGAAGGATATCTAAGCCCTACCACTTTATTCTCCTCCTTTTTTACTCCTACTTCACCTTTCACAATCCGTTTCTCCGGCCATGTGATACTTTTCAGAACCTAACCAAAGCACGGTGTCCTACATCAATTTGATCAATACTCTACTTTGCCTTCATTTTCATTCAGCTCGTCCTGTGCCATCAATATGAAATAACGTGCTAGTTTCAGAAGCATGCAAGGGTAGGGGGCACAAAGTGACACAGCAGAACATCGATGATAAACTCATCATTGCCAAAATTTAATAAAGCACTCAGTTCCTTTCCAGCGCCTCACCTTCCCTCATCATGCACGTCCTCCAAACCTACCTGCAGACTGACGTTCACATCATATTATTTAATGATCATCAACAGAAAAATGAGCTATTTTTGCTGCATCAGGTATAGATATTGACAACAATAAAAGGATCATGTCATTTACTTCCTGTTGGCTCTGTGACTTGTAGGGGTATCAATTCAGCCTGTTGCACTTGTTCCTCCTCCCTGTAGGTGGAGACACCATTGCTCCTGCGAGGCCTGAAACACTGAGGCTCCGAAAGACGAGCCCAGAGCCTCAGCTCTCTGGAGCAGCACGCCTTGCTGTGGCTGGTAAAACGGAACCAAGTCAGGTGTTTCAGTGAGGTTTGGTCCCCTTCAACCAGCTACTGCGCTGTGAATTCTGCCATCAAGCTCAGTAAAAAGCCATAAAGAGAAGGGTTTGCCTAACGGAGGACAAGTCATTCAAGACAGTAGAGAGAGGAGGTGGACAAGGTAGAACTGTTCAGTTATGTTGAATTTCTGCAAGAAGTGAATGCTGATGAAATTCAATATAGTGTTCATTAAAAAAAGGGGGGGGGACAAAATCATTAGTTACTTTCAACTAGAATAATATAATATCTTTTTACTATGCAAACATGTACATTGTACATTTATCTAAATAAAAGAATCTGCAACTGAAAAGAATGGTATGTATAAATGGACTCTTGTTATATTTATTTGTAACAGCATCAAAATAAAATGCTTCCATCTCCCTCATAATCTGTCAAGAACAATAATGTGTAAAACAGTATGTCCTTACAGCAATGCCACTAAAGGAACTGAAAGGTGTTTACACAAAGCTGTCAAAGGTTCAATTAACATGTCCAGTAATTTTATCATTTAATACTTTAAGGTATATATGTATAATAAGGACATGTAACATAATTACTGCTGTCTTGTTTCCATTGTTATCATTATTGTTATATTTAACATTATTGTTATATTTCTTATCAGTAATTTTATCTATAACACTTTTGCAAAAAGAGCCAAAGCGACATTTATCCACATATATATATAAAAAAACGTTAATATACTTAATATATATAAATGGGGGGGGGGGGGGCGACGACTGTGAGCTCATCTGAATATTGGGCGGCTCCATTATGTTATAATTACGGCTTTGGTTTCCCCCAGTTGTTGACGCCGTGGATACGGCCTTGTACAGTAGTTGTCAGGGCACCTGTAATGATTTCTACAAGTGAACGCCAGTCATCATTGAAATAGCAATGTTCAAATGGTGACTGAGGGCACTGTAAACAAACAAACAAACAAACAAACAACATCAATGGCACTTTCCGCAATATAACGCCTCCAAGAACCTTGTTTGCGCATGTTTCCGATACCGTATGAGGAGACTGAATGACCTGATGACCAGGCTGAATTAACATGCTTAAAGATGTCATTCAGTAACCCAGAGTGGTGAATGCACGGTAAGGTGGAAAGCAAAGACAGCAACAGGGCTAGAGAAGCTAAATAAAGTTTCAATTGCAATACATAACGCCAGAATAAACAGTAACATACACGCACAAACGCCAGGCAGATGTATAAATATCAGCTAGAATAAAAATAGTCCTAGCCCATTCCTTGAGCTTACCATTTATATTTTAGAGGGCTGTAAGGGGGCCGTCTATTTATTCACTCTTGCATTCCTCCATTCGTTTATTAATTATTGCTACAGGCAACATGACGCCATTCTCCAGAGCACCTCTCATCACTCACCCACGCGGTAGCGGAGTTCTTCCTACGCGGTGACTCGCGCCGCGGCGTCGCTCGCGCTCCAGCAGGTGGCGCTATCACGCGCATACCCACGCGCTCCGCTCTGCCAAACATGGCGGCTTCAGCAGAGAAGCAGCGGCCGAGGGACCAGCCGCTCCCTGAAGGTAGGTGCGTTTGTTATGCAGTATAGAAAAATAACGCAGTTATCGGACTGCACGACTTTACCGTATGCTTTGGTTTATAATAGTTAGTTGTTATAAGACTGTGTAAAGCTAGCTCTGGCTTACCTGTTAGCTTGCTAATGAGGTGCCTTGTGGGGAAGCTAGCTGTCATATTACCCGTTTATCTTTAGTTTCATTTATATTTAGGTGTTTCTGTAATGGTTAGTCATCTCATTTGTATTTCTTACACCATATACATCATTTAATCTTTATATTTCTAGTGAAAATGTTATGCACGTCTGATGCAATCCGGTGTAATGATAGCTGTTAGCCAGCATTGTGGCTAACTGGCATTACAAGCCTCACTTTATCTCTTATTTTGTTTTCAGGAGACGTGGATTCAAAGAGAAATGACATTTTACGTTCAAAAGTAAGTATGTTCATTGCATATTTTTATATTACCGAAATGTATAATTATTGTCCAGACTCCACACTTTATTCTGAATCCTTCGTGAAAGTTTGAAATTGAATAGTTAGCTCGCAGTCTGACGTAAAGATGCTTCTTGCCGGTAGAATGAAGGACAGGAGTTGAGCAAAGAAGAGAAACAGAGGCTGAGAAAGGAGAAGAAGCAGCAGAAGAAGAAGAAGAAGGATGATGGGTGTCCCTCGAACAGCCAGGCAGAAAAGCAGCCTGTAGCCCCTGGGTCATCGCAGGCGCAGATCCAGCAGGCTGCACAGACGCAGAAAGGTGAACAGGGGTCAGCTGGGATGCGGAATTGTAGCCTGCTGAAGGGAAACACACACCTTCCTCATTCTTTAACTTTTACATGGATGGAATTTCAGTACGTGTAGGGAGCACCAGCGGGGGGAGCTCTGTGGGGTTGATTCCCAACACTGGTTGTGTGTTTGCATATTCCCCAGTTCATGCTTCTTCCCACGAAGATGTGGTTGGGTGAACTTGGTGTATCTGAATTGTTGTGTAGTGTGTGGTTGTGTGCCCTGTAGTCGACTAGCACCAGGGCACACCAGGGTGCTTCCTGGATTGGGCTTCAGGTTTGCAGTTACCCAGGACTGTATATGGGTGCTGGAGAGGGCTGAGCGGTATAGGTCCAGCCTGTGGTGCGTTTCTCGAACAACGACGGAAGTTAGCATTAACGATGCATCGTACTATGGTAGTTCAAACCGTCGTACCACAGTAGTTCGAACCACGTTAGTTAGTTAGGAGTTCCGTAGTTGGAACTACAGTGGTTCCAGCGCTGATTGGTCAGACGCACGGCGAATCTACCGTAGTTTGAATTACAATGGTTCCAGCGCTGATTGGTCAGACTCATATATATTTGTGTCATCAATTTCTGTCAGTCACATAACGCCAATAATATGAAAATTAGCAATCGCGCAAAAATAATGCGACCCTTCTTGGAGTGATAAACAGAAGAACTTTTAGCTATGATATTTTTTGAAAGACGCTCCATCTGCAATTACATTGATTGCAGTTCATTGTGTTTCAGTTAAACTACGACCACTTACAAATTCCTGGTCTGATGTTGTCACTTACAGAATGTTAGTGGCTGACTGGAATATACAGGTGCGTGTAATATCCAGACATTACAGATGTAATTTCCCGAGTACAAAGGCATGGATTTGTATCTGACCGCTGTAGTGTCATTCTACTCTTCCATTATGGCAACGACACCTGTCAGTGAATAAGGAGTACTACATCAAAGTGCTGTACTCTTTTCTAAGGCGACTGTTGTCCCTCTTAAGTTATGTGTGTAATGAAGAAACTGCACAACACCCAATGGTCTGCATAGGGCTACAAATACACACATGTATACACATACAAGGGATAATGATTTATTATTATTATTATTATTATTATTGGGTTTTATTATTTTCTATTCTTTTCTATTCTTTTTATTATTATTTCTAGTTTTTTCCCTATATATGGTGAATTGTACCATATGGCACACAACATCCTTTACCAAGCAATACACACTAACTGCATATGCCACTACAGGGGTGGGCAATCTTATTCAGAAAGGGCTGGTGTGTTTTCAGGTTTTTTTGGGATAACAGTTCAATCAGTTGCTCAAACCCAGTTGTGCGACCTCTTCAGTTGATCGGTCCTCTACGTTTTGCTCTAAGCACGGAGTTGCAGTGAAAAGCTTCGTGCCTAACGGCCCTTTCTGGAGAAAATTAGCCACCCCTGTGCTAATCAATACTTTGCAATCTGATATTTGTCCCTATTGCTCACTAGACAGTTACGGTACTTATGACCAGAGACCCACACAACAATTTTCAAGTTTCAAACTACATTTTCAGACAACTTAACATTATATGTGATCGTAAGGCTAAATTATTCTTTATTATGTATTAAACATTATTACATTTCTTTCTTACACAGTGACTATAAACTGCATTTTCCACCATCGCTGACGAATTTACATGGAACTACACTTCTAACTACAGCTCGCGAGCTGTAGTTCGAACTACACAACTTAACGACAGTGTTTGCGAACGTTCGTTCGAACTATGGTTTCGGGAAACACCTGCGTCATTTAACGATGCATGATACTACGTAAGTCCGCAGTATTGTTACCTATGTAGTTTGAACTATGGTTTCGGGAAACACCTGCGTTGTACTTACATAGTTCGAACGACGGAAGTTGCTAGCATAGTTAGCAACGATGGTTTCGAGAAACGCACCCCCGGTCTGTGACGTACACAGCTGCTTCCAGACTGTGTGGTACTGTTTTAGAGAGGTACTGCAGCTGAAAATTTTTCCAGGGCCTGGCAACCTCCAAGAAATTTCTGACCCTGCAAGAAAAAAATCTCTGGTGCTGCCACTGGTACTGGATAGTTGTGCATTAATCTTGTTTTTAGTAAAAGGAAGAACTCACATGGAAAATATATTTAAAACAACTTTTGCCATTGTTTCTGGCAGTTTCACAGACTACAGCAGTGCTTTTTGCCCTTTACCGTTGTCCCATGAGGCACACATTGTTACAGTTTAAGTCTGGGCTACAAACTCCTCCTTGTTCCTCAGCCCCTGTATCGCCCCCCGCTTGTGATGCCTCCACACCTGCCGACAAACCTCCCAAGAATAAAGCAGAGCGAGCAGAGAGACGCGCGCGGCAGGAAGCGGACCGAGCCAACAGGCAGTCTAGAAAGGGAGATCCCGCCTCCCAGGTGCCTGTTGGCAAATCCAAGCCTCCCCCAAGTGAATCTCAGCCAGGTACAGGTGTCTTGGATGCCCTGCTGAATTCTTACATGCATGCTATTGTCCTGAAACGTTAATTTCAATATAGAATTATAGACATTTTAAATCACCTCCTCTACAATCTGCAATTTGATTGGTTCAGAGAGATAACCAGTCATTTTTCGTTCTGCTCTCTGAATTATTTTTTGTGAAAGTGAAACTCCACCGAGCTTGATTCCTCCCTGTTCTCTCTAGTGGTGAAACGACTGCCAGAACACGTTCAGGTGGATGATCCCGCAGCTGTGAGGAAACTGGCTAAAAAGTTGGAAAAGCAGCAGGTGAGGCTTCTTCCTGTATGTTTTACGTCCCTGGATTTTGTTTCTGAAGGGGAAAACCAGAATGTTGTCTGGACCCTGGGGCTTGTGCCAGTTTGCAGTATTTATTCTGATGCTAAGATTCCCGTTCTGTTTTGCAGATCCCAGTGAGGTCTGAGTATGGCTACAAAGTGTCTTTATTCTCCCACTTACATCAGTACAGCCGTAAGGCACCTCTTACTCAGCAAATCAGGTATGGTGACAATGCCTACTTTTGACTGGATGTAAAAATCCTTCACTTCTAAAAGTAAAATGTCTAGAAGCCCTTCCCTCTTTTGTAATTGTTTTAGCCCTAGTGAGACAAATACGATGGGATTTCAGTGTACTTTGCTTTATTACATTCTTTAATAAACATTGCAGTGGATTAGGCTGCTGTCTGCCCGCGTCTCTGCTCTGGTATTGATTGCTTTTGTCTGCCAAAGCATTCCAAATATGGTGATCCACCCTTCTGTCGTGCGGCTGGGCCTGCAGTACTCTCAGGGTATCGTGGCAGGCTCCAACGCCCGCTCCATCGCCCTGTTACACGCCTTCAAACAGGTACCGACTTCCTCAGGCGTCTGCCGGCCTTTCAGCTCTATACCTCCATCCTCTTGATTCTCACCTGTTGATTTCCCACAGAGAGCTTTTCTATGCACTCATTTGAACGTAGTTTTTCTGTTTTGTGTTTTAGACACTAACATTAGTGGTAAAAACGAAAGGTATTAAACATCAGAAAGAAGTGCCTGCTTAGCACTGTCGTGTTAATCTGTCATGTTCAGCCCCGAAGATGCTCTGTTTACTTTGTGCCTTGATTAAGTGGCCCCCCATCTTTCCTGTAGGTTATCCAGGACTACAGCACCCCTCCCAACGAGGAGCTGTCCCGAGACCTTGTAAACAAACTGAAGCCCTACATCAGGTATGAAGTAAAACAGCATTCGCTTTTATGTCATTGGCACTCAGCTAACTACAGTCCCAACTTTAACAGAGGTAATCAGGTTATTTCATGTTTTATTGCTAGTTAGTTTTGATTCTGTATATAAAGACTGAAAGAAATCTCATGGCGCTCATAGAATATGTTATTGGTCTTTGCCTCTTCCCCAGTTTTCTCAGTCAGTGTCGCCCCCTGTCAGCCAGCATGGGAAATGCAATCAAGTACATCAAAAAGGAAATCTCCAATATTCCAAACAGTTTGAGAGAGGAAGAGGTGAGTGACATGTTAAGCTTGGAAAAACGGTGCAAAACGGTGTAAATAGGCATTATGACAAGAAATTAACACGTATTTAATCTTTTATTACAGTTAATGTGTACTTGAGCACCAGTTATCAGTCCCTGTGTATTAGAATGAAGAGCTCAACATGTCAGTGCTTAAACACTGTGGCTTTCACAAGGACTCCAGTTTCCTCCCGAAGACCAAAAACTGCAATTACTTGAATTTGTGTGTTTAAATATGCTATAGAGTTGATGGTTGTATTACAGTGTTTGTGGTACAGTCTTGTCTGTTTATGGTACCAGCTTGGTGTAGGTCATTCATTTTGGTTACCTGTATGTTGTTTTAACCAAGCTGGCTGCATTACTGCTGTTGCAGGAAAAATTGTCCCCCCATTTGAAAGTGACTGTGCTTCACAGGCCAAGTCCCACCTGCAGAACTGCATCGATAATTATATCGAGGAGAAAATCAACCTGGCGGCCAAGGCCATCTCAAAGTTTGCCATCGAGAAGATCAGTGATGGCGACGTCATTCTGGTCTATGGATGGTAAGCCCCGGCTTAACGCTCACGTTGGCACGGTAACGGGAATGCTGCAGCCGGGTTCATATTGACATCTCAGAAAGGAGTCACCTGCAGACTTAACGACATGCAGGGGAGCTGAGCGTTACAGCTTTTCCCCCGCAGTGTTCATCCCTGATCCGTGCCTCCCTTCCAGCTCATCTCTGGTCAACCACATCCTGTGTGACGCTTTTGAGAAGGAGAGGAAGTTCAGGGTGATCGTGGTGGACAGCCGGCCCAGGCTGGAGGGCAGGGAGGCCCTGCGGAGGCTGGTGAAGATGGGCATCCGGTGCACCTACGTCCTCATTTCTGCTATCTCCTACATCCTGCCTGAGGTGCCCCTCCTCATTCTTCTGTGCCTCTTCCCCCATCACAGGAGAGAACACTAATATCAGTGTACATAACCATAAGAAATGGTTGTAAACTAAACAAAAGGCAAGGTGGCTGTGAAACAGAACCTAAGAGATGCTCATCTGCAGCCTTTGTCACATGCTGAAGGAAGCGCAACAGCTACTTTCAGCGTCTGCAATGCCAGCCTTTCGAGATTTGTTGATTCAAAATATTAGCATTGATGCATTTTCAGCGATAATGTCAAACTATGTCAAGTAATTGTGGCAATCCTAGTTCAGTTTTAGCAAAAAGTGTACCAAGTTTGACGTACTGCAGCCTTAAGTGGTGTAAATTGCCAATGAATAAACATTTTTTGAAGCTTCATGATCCTGCAATGCAGATCTTGTCCACACCATAAGACCTAGGAATCTTTAGTGACATTCTGTATCCCTGTGTTCCCCAAAGGTGTCCAAGGTCTTCCTAGGAGCCCACGCACTCCTAGCCAACGGCTACGTGATGTCGCGTGTTGGGACGTCCCAGATCGCCCTGGTGGCCAAGGCCTACAACGTGCCTGTGCTGGTGTGCTGCGAGACGTACAAGTTCTGCGAACGCGTGCAGACGGACTCCTTCGTGTCCAACGAGCTCGGTACTGCCTTGTTTGCCTAATAGTGTAGTGCAGTCATTTCTTAGCTAACCACCACTTTATAAAGTTTCAACTTAGTCAACCTCTGACCTGATGGCACAGGAAATGACACCCACTGTGATTGTCGTCTAGATGACCCTGATGAGCTCATGGCCACCCGGAAGGGGAAGACACAGCTGGAGAACTGGCAGAACGTGCGACTGCTGGGCCTACTGAATCTGGTGTACGACGTGACGCCCCCCGACTTCGTGGACCTGGTGATCACTGAACTGGGCATGATCCCCTGCACGTCTGTTCCAGTGGTGCTCAGGGTCAAGAACGTGGACCAGTAACCCCAGCTCCCCCCCATCTGTGTTGTACACAGTGTTTCCTTTGGCAGAAATAAAATTATTTCAAATGGCGTTAGTGTGGAACCTTAATTTCAGTTTTATTAAAAACAAAAACAAAACAATTTAACAATGTGTGATTATAAGGTGCACATTGTTCAAACAAAATGTTCGATACGAAAACTGCTTCTGTATTACGAATTTCATATAAAACATCTCATGTAGTGATTTCTATTTTTCAGTACTTTCTAGAACACAAGTCAGTTAATACTACTCAAAAATGGTAAGTTAAATACAGGGGACATAAAATATTTCACAGAAGACAAAAAGTGGTCCTTGTGTCAAACTGTCAGTTAAATCTCCACTAAAGTAAACTTCAGGACTGAAGTTGTAAACTAGGCTGTAATATATTTGGCTTAGCTGTAGCCTAACCTGAAAGTGGACAAACAACCAACCAAATACATTTTAGGTGTAATTACAAAGTGTAAAAGTATCATTCTGAGTTTAGGGCAATAGGCAGCAGTGTTAGACTAACTTTGCATGCATAAAACTGATTTTGTTCCATTAAACTGGAACTAAAATAGCTCAGTTATGTAAACAATACAGAGCAAGACAATTTTTAAATCCTGCGATCCATAACAAACTTCAATCCCTGAAAACAGTACTAAGTATCTGTTATTGTCAGCAAATTGGTTTAAAACTATTTTTATCTGAAAGGATCAACCTTTTAGTCCTTTGTGCAGGCTGTCATCAGTGGTTTTAGGCAGAGCCTCCTTAAAAACATCAGTATTCAGGTTTCAGTGCTGCTTGAAATGTGCAAAAATGAATGCCAGACCAAACAGCTCAGACTGTTTTGGCCTTCCGCCGCTGTGTGACCCAAAGGATGCCCGACAGCATGAGAGTACTCCCACCAAGGATGCCAAACACCTCCGCCACAGGGAACTGGCCCTTTAAGAGACACAAACACAGCACTCAGCTGGCTCATCCTGCAGATTTCTCTTCTGGAGTTTGAAAATAAAATGCTGCCTGTAGTCACGGATTTTATTTTTATTTTCCCCAATATCTTGAGACCTACTGCATGAACAACAGAGGAAAGGACAATTAAGTCACATTATAAACCACAAGAGGTCAGCTTCACACGTCCCGTATGTTTAGTTTCTTACAGCATCTAGCGACATGCAGTGAAGTAAACTGTCTCTAAAGCGTCTGTAATGAGCAAGTGTGTTATGATGTGTGTCCTGTGGAGGGACAGCATCCTGTCCGGGGTGTGACCCTGCTTTCGGCCCTGTGCTGCCTGGGATAGGCTCCAGGCAATGCCTACCAGGATAAGACAGCTGGAAGATGGGTGGATCAAAAGTGGTTTAAAAAGACATCCAGGCAAAAGTTTAGTTATAGAAGAAGACGACAGGGTGCTGACCTTCCGGAGACACTTGTATCCATGGTAATCCCCGGAACAGCTACACTGAACAAAGCTGGGGCCATAGGGCGCACAAAGGGAGTTTTCAGGACAGGTCCAGGCTACATTCATCAAAGACAAATATTGTGCAATTAAATTCAATCGAGCTCAGGCTGCTTCAGCTGATACATTTAGTGATGGACATAGTTACATTTTAATTGGAAGGTGACGTACACATATTTCCACCACTATAGCAGGCGTCCCGCTGTCCCTCACACAGACAAACGGAGCCAAGGTCCTCCACGGTCTCCCACGACTCATTCCCACCAGGGCACTGACATGGCAATGGCAACCTCCTGAAATGGGGAATGGGTATTTTCAGGATGTAATCATTTCTTCATAGGGGGTTGCCAGCAACCCAAATGTTTAATGCTGTATTTCACAATCAGAGTTTGGTAATTCAGGTCCAGAGAGTAAAAGTCCAGACCGGGATTTTGTTTCAACCAACCAGTTGAGTTCTCTGTGACTCTTTATGCTCAACTGGTTGGTTGAAACAAAATCCCGGTCTGGACTTTTACTCACTTGTATAATACATGCCATTATAACTGAGAAACTCACAATGAATGCAGCTGTGTAAATCCCTGAAAGATGGATTCGCTCATGTTTACAATCGGGTTGGCTGACAAATCTCTGTTAAATAATAAGAAAAAAAAGTTTTAAGTTGCACATACTCTCTCTTAAAAATAAAGCAGAAAAAAAGTGTTATAAAAGAGCCGGTCATTGAAACGAAACAAACGTTACATACATAATTACGGCAGTTATTGCTTCGTGAAGATCTTCCACCTTTCCCAGGGAACAGTTGGACAAGTCCAGCCTAAATGAAACACAAAACGAATGACATCAGGCAAACTTTTAGAAATTAACAGTGTGTGCTAAATTCAGCCACAAGGCAGGTTTGTCGAAAGGATGTTCTCCTACCCGATGATGGAGGCCGTGTCCTGGTCCCCTTGATGTCGCAGGCAGCAGCGGCCGTCCACCAGCCCTGCGGAAGCAATGCAGAAGTTTCCCACAGCCGATCCGTCCTGCAGCCTGCCGTCGCACCGGTGACATTCCTGGTAGCCGGGGTACACAGGAGGAAATACTTAGCACTTCTGTTTTAAAAAAGAAACATCCAGCGCAGTTAATCGCAAAAAATACAACATTAGACAGATAAGATTAGACAGATATAAGATTAGATAGATAGATAGATAGATAGATAGATAGATAGATAGACAGATAGATAGACAGATAGATAGATAGACAGATAGATAGACAGATAGATAGACAGATAGATAGATAGATAGATAGATAGATAGATAGATAGATAGATAGATAGATAGATAGATAATCTGAATAATCATGATCATCATTACGGGCGTCAGACTTGTAAAACACTAAATCCAGCACGACTGACTAAACAACACATCACTCAGGTAAACGGAACTAAAAGACGGCAGGACACGGCCCGCCTCGGATCGATGCTTTCAGTTCTGATTATCTTCCTACCTGCAAGCCGGTCTGCTGGAAACCCGCATGTAAACAGACCGACATGAGGGACACTGCCATAGCAGTGAGCACCGCGTCCCTTCTCGCCGTCATTTTCAGGTCCCGTGGATTCCTGCGGTCATATGACCTCTCTAAGTGTCACGTGACGGCAAGGCTGTCGCCAGGAGACGCCCTGCCTGTAGCGCTCTAGTTCAACTCCCATTGCCAGTCGTATTATATCGAAATGACACAATACACACTGTATTCATATGGGCTATTCTTGTATGGTCATCTATATCAACATTTGCTATTTATTTCATTTTGTGGGGGAAAAGACACGAATATGAACAGTGTTTAAATTCTGAAACACTTTACAGTCAGGGTGTGTGATGTGTCATGTGTAGGTCATATTGCAAATAGGTGAATGGTTTTTATTCAGCCAAATGTACAATTTAATGATAAAGTTAGAAATAATCCAGCAAGCTACATTTAGTCGTCATTTCTTGTTTAAAAAAACTATGACATAAATAGATCCGCTTAGTTCGTTCCAAAACACTGCGAATTGATAATAACTTTCTTAATTTTTCCAGAATACTGACGCCTTCTCTGGAAAGATCTACAGTTGTCAGGGACAGCACTATAGCTGCATATATATAAGGTCATCTGACCAGTCTGACACTTGGGAATGCACTTAGACAGTTGAAGGGGTGTTATGTAACTTTGTATCCATTTATAGCTTAAAATATATAAAAATAAATACATGTTTTAGAAGAAGAATGTGTGAAACTAAGTATATAGGTAACATAAGTGATTATGTGTTTATTCTTTGTTATTTATGTATGATTTTTTTCAAATCATAGAAATACACTAACCCCACTTTTCGAAAATTGGTCGGTCCTTGGGTCTTTTGCAACGTCCTGTAAAAAGAGCTGTACAAGTAGGCGCACATTGAACGCATAAAATGTTCCAGCAGTAATTGCCTGCGCTCTTAGTCACATTTGTCTTTTTCCTTGACTTTCGCCTTTTTGCATCCAACAGAAAGTATTTGAATGTGACAGCTATTTTGTCTAGCACGTCGGATAGGATTTTCCCCCCCGTCTGATTCGTATGTACCATTAAGTGTGGAGACGGGGGTTTCTTTTTGCCGAAACAAAGTATCAATTTAAAAACGGAGCAATCCGGAACATAACCTGGTACTGCATCGGAGTCAGGTGAAATAAACTTGTTTCAGAAGTGATTTATTGCTAAGCATGTGCGAGTCTTTCTTTGAAGTTTGAAAAAGGTTTCGTCAAACTGGGCTGATACACACCGACAACGAAGCAGGAATTAAACCCAGTCCCAACATGGCTGCTGCGGGGACGTTAGGCAAAGTTAAACTCCTTACTTGAGAAGTTTTATTTGTAAATCCGTTCAAAGGAGGAGATCCTTAGGATACAAAATTGGGGAGAAAACAGCGTCTGAACACATCGGCGTGTGCCTCAGAGTTTGGTGGACTGCACCACCAGGAATATGCAGAAGAGAGACCGCTGGCTGCCTAGGCTGCTTCCTCCGGTCCTAAACACGCATCTCCTGCTTCTCCGTGGCTGCGGTGGACTCAGGCTGTAGATCCCGGTGCCTTTAACCCCAAAAAGCTGTTTAAATTTTGACTCTTTAAAACCTGCTTCAGTAAAGATGCATTTTTCCATTCCCGAGACTGAGGTACGCTCTGGAGATAATGGATCAACCTACGTGGTGAGTCCCCATCTCGCTTTAGTTTATACATTTATATTTCTCATTTTAGCGCCTGTTCTCTGCTAAATTATTACATTTTTTGCATATTTCCATCTTCATGAATATCGAGATAATTGCAACATAGCTAAATTTGCACATACCGGAAAATGGAACGTCTATGATTACCACCCATTGATTCATATGATTTTTCAAAATAATCACACGTAATACACCTCGAGTAAGGTGATTCTTTAATTTCGAGGGGTTCGGCTCTCTCTCGGTTGAGAAGGTCTTGTGTTTAGGGGGATCTGCATTTGGGATTGATTGCAGCCCTTTAGCGGACACTCATTGCATCCGTCTTATCATTGTAGCGATTGAGTGTAACTGCGGAATGGCAGTTAGTGGTTTTTCCACACTATTTACTAATATTATATAAAGTGTTAAATTCTAAGAACGATTTCACGTTTCCACACTTCGTGGCATCGAAAGAGCATTGCATATGTGAGTGCGTGAAAAACCTGCAAAGAAGCCCATTTTTTAATTTAAATACCTTTAGGATCCATGGACTGAGCGTTTTGGTTGACTCCAGCTTACTCAAGCTTATAATATATAGCTATATATATATATATATATATATATATATATATATATATATTGCTGTTGCACCACAGTGTTTGTAATACCTTGGTGACGCAGTGGTTGCCCATTCCGCATATCTCTATGCATAATAAAGCCCAGTATAATCCGTACCCAGTATGCCTGGCACCGTCCTTTAAAAACAAATTGAAGGTTTCGAGATGTTTTCCTGTCCTTTCCTAAGATCCCATTTTAAAGTTGATTAGCGCGAGGCCATGTCATGTGTTGTATAAACTTAAGACTCAAGTTTATACAGAAAAACACGTTGCCAAATGTTACTCAAAAACAGTTGAATATATTGTGTATTTGTAGCTAAGCACACATTTTGCTTCGAATAATGAAACTAAAATTCAGCTGTTTCTCGTGGTGTTTCCCGTGGAAGCTGATGTAGATAAATCCTTTTAATCTCCAAATTATTGGGAAAATTTGTTATACTGTTTATGTGGTTGGTTCAGCGCAGCCTGGAAAGGATTATTGCAGATGTTATTTGAACATGTTGACCTATAGTAGTATCATTTGTCTTTGTGGTTTATTTCATGATATTACCAATGTATTGATTTCTCTGTATGTCTGTCTTGTGTTCGATTTATGGAACGTGCGGCTTTATACGGGCTGGTGCCTGGTCATGTATAGGAAAATGCTTTTTGTACTTATAGATCTGGGTGATTCTGGTAGGTCGCGTAGTTCCTGTGAAGTCTCGGCCAGCTTTCCTGTGTGAACCGCCGCAGCTTGATCTTGGTTTTTAGCGCCGATGAAAAACAAATCGTTCAATATTTAATTTTCATGCAGCGCACAACATCAAACTTTGCGTCTGCTTCTCATTTAGGGACGGAAAATCCAGCTTCCTTTTTGGTACAATACTGTTATGATGGAGCAGAAAAGACAGAGCGTTTCTTTGTTGTTTTTCCTCCTGAAAACGCTGACCATTTCATTAGTTATTACTGTAAAATTGTGGATGCTGTGAGTAGCAGCCATATATCCATGTTTGGCTGCAATTTAAGCCGATGTTACCGCAAATATATACAGTATTGCTTTGCAGAGTCTGCAAGGACACTAAATGTTTATTACAATGCAGAAGAATAGCAATGGCAAAGTTCAACATGTTTTATATAAATTAACTGGTGCTGCAGTTTCGCGCAGTGCAGAGGTAAGGTCGATCTAGTGAAGTATCAAGTTGTTCTAAGCATAAGATTAACGCAGCTAGATGATTCACCAGTAGAATACTGATACTTTTATCCCCATGGGGAATTTGTATTTTCGCCTATCCCATCTGGCTCTCCGTGAGACACACGGACAGGTGAAAGCAAGTTTGGGGGTCACATCAGAATCGGATTTATTGGCCAGGTTCGTTAAGTCAGATAAGGAATTTGGTTCCAGCCGATGGCGTCTAAAATTAGACAGTATACAGACCATGAAATAATTTATGGACAATACGCAATATGCAAGTCATACATAGAATAAATACAAGACAAGTGATATACATAGAGTGCCGACAGTGATAATCATTACGTGTGAACAGCAGCGCTGCTGTAGTGGTTGGGGGTTATGAGATCTGCTTAAATGCCCAACAGCGGCATCAGCCATTCAGCCCCGAGATTCGAACCCAAAGGTGACTCTAGTGGTGAGTTGCAGGGTTTGGTAACCAGAAAAAGGCTACAAGTAGCGTACTGGTTAAGCTCCAGGTTATGATCCTAGTTTGGGAGTGTGAAGCAGTTACTCAACTTGGGCAGAGATCCCTAAGATGCTGAGCCAGGCACTGCCTCCTCCTGGTTCAGTGTGAAAATGTTAAGCCATGAGATTTGGTTTGAATTGAAGCAGATGCTGGTCACATGGTAGCTCAGTGGGTAGCACAACATCCTCACATCTGCAGCGGTTTAGGTCTGGTGTGTGTGCGTGTGTGTATGTTTGTGCACACATGCATGCATGCAGAGTTTGTTCTCCCTGTTATTTGCCCAGATTATCTGAGTATTCCAAATATATGCTGTTGGCCAAATTGCTGGCATCACATCATGCCCAGTGCATTGTGGGATACTCTGGGTTCACCTTGATCCCAATGCTGTATTATTGGTTATGAGAGAGACAAAGCAGACAGCCATGTTTAAGGTTGCGTGTGCTCTGTGTGGTGTTTTTGTGCTGTAATGCATTGTGCATTTTAACAACTGCAGATGTTAGAGATCATATAAACGGCACGGAACTCCTGCTAAATTTTGCTTTATGGCATCTGTCTGCCTGCCAGGTCGCTTTTTTGGTTCTGTTTTGAAACCTTGTTTGCATTTGTCAATCCAGTCATCTTCTGGAAGTCAGTATTGTTATGAAACTAGCTGTTGACTGCATCAGCAGTTTTTTTTCCCAAGATAAATAAAGCACTCTTGTTTTTAATATTTACTACTTTTTGGAATCTGAGTTTGCATTTTTCTTCACTTTTTTGTGGATTTAGTTTCAGGATTGTTTGGAAACACTTTGGCAGCAAAGTTGGCCGACTAAGAGGTCGTACTGAGCGTCAGCGTGAAAAGTCGGTGTGAAAAGTGCTCACATGTCACTTCACAGTAGTTTGTGAAACTGTGGGGGCAGCATTACCCTTATTAAATCACAGTGTAACTACCGTGTCTCCTTGGTAAAGTGGAATGCTCTATGCATTCCTGTGAATCTTTTGTTTATGAAATGCTTGTTTTTATTAACACGTATATACATGTACTGAGGGCCTAGATATGGTGTGTTGTGGGTGTGTAAGATTGGGCAGTAATCATAAACTGAGCTCAGTCAAGGATTTTTTTTGTCCCCTTTAATATTTTTCTAAGGACTTAATAAGTAAACAAAGATCTTGCAGTACAGTCCAGCTAGTTTATAAGATCTGTATGATTGATTATAAGAACCTCATCCTCCTCTTCCTCTCTCTACCTGTCATACCTTCACTGCCTCTCTGGAACCCTCCGGCTTTTTCATCGGTGGGCTTCGTCCAGATATATTGTCCACGTCTGTCACATGCTAATTTGCGCTCCATTTGCTTCTATGAGATTTGCTAGTTAAATGCTACTTTGTTGATGCACTCTGCAAGAGTTCTTTTCTCCAGAAACCCCAAGGCTCATCTGCAAGAGCCCAACTAGCATGCAAGTGCAGTATCAAACATCAAAGCTTGACGTAGCGACTAAAGCTAACGAGGCACATTTGATTTGGAGATACTAGCTAGCACTGGTGTTTGATTTACGCCTGTTGCACTTTTGAATTGCAATATTAACCACTTGTAGAACAAGAGAATCCAGCGACCAGAGTTATGTGGTGGCGTATCGCAGCTCTCTCTGACTAACGATAACCATGTCACACTCATGAGGGTTGTAACACCTGCTGTTAGAATATTAGCATCTATATTTTGCATTTGATGACACTTAGTAGACTTAGTTTCTTACTTGATTCTCTTTCTGGTGATATTTACATGTCTGGTATGTTTAATGCGAGGTTTGCAAAGCTCTTGCTCCAATTCTAACTACTTGCATTCGTTACCAGTCACTCATTGGCAGCAACTGTAACAAAACTGCCACTTTCACAGTTTAATGCTCATTATCTCCTGTCCGTCTCATTTTTATGTCCCTTCGGACAAAAGCTTCTGCCAAATGAATAAATGCTCACCACTGAGTTTCATCGCACCACGAAACAAGAACAAATAATCTTAGCTGAGTCATAAAATCATCACTGTCTGTTTCGATTTGTCATGCTTGAGAACAAATGATACCATGTCCCATTTTTATATGTAATAAATAATACTCTCATTACGTGATGTATCATTTGCTGAGTCAGCATACGATTATTCTCCCACCACTTCTTGTCACCTTGTTTTTTTTTTTTGGATAAATTAAAGCGTAAATTACACTTCAGTCACATTAGGTTGGCTTAATAGCTTGAGACACACTCCATCACGGGGCTGGAATTGTCCATCCACAGGATATTAGCCCTTCTGGTTCCCAAGGACAGACTTAAGCGTACCTCCTGAGCTTGTGCGCCCGTATGTGCCGGAAAAAACAGCCTCTGCATGTCAATGGTGACATTCCTGTGCTAGAGCTGGCCAATCCCGCGCTCCGTTCTCTTTCAATGGCTTGTACGCGAATCAGAAGTACCGCAGCAATTTGTATGCATCTTTTTCCTGTCCCGTCAAAAGGATACTTCAGGGAAAGAAGTTTCCGATGTAAGAGAGCCTTGTATTGAGTTAGTCAAAAAAAAGTATTAGAAATATGCTTGTTCATATAGTCTTCTCGAGTTGCTGGCCTGATAAAATACTCCCAGAGTTTGGATTTATGTGATATTGCTGCTCAAGTCCTCTTCAAATGTCAAGAAGTATGGTTAGGAGACAGTCTGCCACGCGTATAAAATCGATGTCTGATGTCCATCTTTAATGGAGGATGGTTTTGTGAAAAATCAGCAGAAGTTGCATTCGATTTAATTTGGTTTTGAGAATTTAGGTTTTCTTCATATATTTTTGTTGAGTACCTACTGACTACTGAATTTCAGATTTGCCGTATGTCAATGAGTAAATTAATCTTCCTCTATTTCAACCCTTCGAAGTAATTTCAACATATTACAAGCTGTCGGAAGGAATCGTAGCTGCACGCCGGACAGCATTATGCTGCACTGTCCCTCCGTCTGGAAGAGGCCTGCGGTCAGCTTTACATTATAAAGCTCGCCGTCACGGTGTCGGCCCAGCCAACGTGCCATAGCCGCAAAGAGGTTAGCCGCACGCCGTGTGTTCATTAAATTGGGGAGTGACGTCACTGCTTGGTTACAGGTGTCGCCTTCACAAAGCGGTCAGCAGGGTGGCGCGCTTGGGTCCGCATGGGCAGGGTGGCGCGCTTGGGTCCGCATGGGCAGGGTGGCGCGCTTGGGTCCGCATGGGCAGGGTGGCGCGCTTGCGTCCGCATGGGCAGGGCTGATGCGAGAGCCGCTGCTGCAAACTCCGCAAGAATCGCCAGAGCTGTTCTTTTCTCCATTCTTACTTTTCAGAGTAGGTGATCTCTGAGTCATGTAGCAGAAATAACAGTGGAGAAAATTTGTGGTTAAAACCCTAAATGATGACTGGCATGCTAATGTGGTTTGTTTGTGTTTTTTTTCCCCCTAAGACATTGATAGCAGTATTTTATTTTTTCCTGTTCTGAACTGTAGTTGGTTCCGCTTATTTAGGGGATTTTCAAGTTTTTCCATTCTTATGTTTTGCGTACTTTTTCCTAACAACTTACCGTCCTGTTTAGGAGGTGAAGCAAAGACACAGGCCTAGTTTGGGTCATCTTGCGTTACTGTGATTAATAACTTGGTACGAGTTAATTACATCTAGCTGGCCCTGATTGGACTGATTATTTTGTCAAGGGTAAATTGAGTCAGCTTGGTGGGTCGGAGAGCTTCTGCGCCTTCCGCTCACTGTGTGGGATGTTGTGGTCCTCTGTTTAATTCGGGTTTGTGGGTTTTTATGCCAAGACTTTTTGGATTTAGGCCTTTTGACTTGCATTCTGGTACCTTCTTGCTCCTTTTATAAAGGCTCACATCCTCAGTCTAGTATTTGACATCGATAAAGTCTTTGTTTATGTCTTTGTCATTTCCTGTCTCTGTCCCCTTATGCTACCCAGCCTGTACAGCTGGTCTCAGTCCCACATCCTGTTGCAAGTTGTTCAGAATAATAGAAAGTCTATCAGTTATCAAAATGAAACCGTTTCACCCGAGGTGATGCATGTCTTGGCTTGTTAGGAGGCTGTACCCTTGATCAGAAGGTTGCAGGATCAAATCCCAGGCTCTGCAGAATGATCTCACTTTTGGACTGGCTG